TCTCTTTCAATTGATCTTGATTTTTGTTTGGTTATCCTTTCATTTTTTTTTTGCTTAGAATCCAAAGATTTTTTTTCTGAATCCCTGGTACGAACTTTTGCGCTATCTTCTTTTGTAATGGATTTTGAAACATCTTTTTGTGATGAAGATTCCTGAGATGGAAGAACTTGGTCATGTTCGCTCACTAATGTTTTAGATTCTACAGGTGTTGACGGTCGTTTTGGAGAACTAAGTTTCAATAACTTTTTAAAATCTGTTTCAGATTCCTTCTCTGATGGTGCTGTACGAAATATGTTCCATGGATCATCGTAGCCGGGATAAGTGGGATCAGGGATGAATTTTTCCTCCTTCTTCTCCACTCCTTTTTTTCTACTTGCTATAGAATCGGGACTCATATGACATTTTTTATCGCGTTTCTTTTCTTTTTCTTTTACTTTTTCAGGAGGTTTTTGCGGTTCCTCTTCTTCTTCGTCGTCATAATCAAAATCTTCTTCATCGAATTCTCCCGGAATTTCTTCGATTCCTACTTCTTGTTTTTTAAATGGTACTCGCTCGCCAAAAGGCCCTTCGCAGATAGCTCGTCCAGGTTTCGTTCCACACGGAGGACCCTGGATAATTCAATCGCGTTAATATTACGAACAAAATAGTTACTAAACTTTAGTTTAAAAAAGTAATAAACCATACTCTCAATATCTCTTTCCGTAATCTCTCTTGCTCTGCTAATTCTTCTGGAGTTAAAGTATGCAACGCACCCCACGGTCCTCCACAGATACCCATACCATGCTCATCTCCGCACGGTTGAAAATCAGCAATACTGTACATCCTCTTCTTTTCCGGGGAAGCATCCTTTTGCGCTTTTTGTTTCGCTTTCTCTGCTCTTCTCTTTAATTTCATTATATCGTGTATAAATGGATTCCTTCTGCATGATTTATCACCAGGATATAATTTACAAGACAAAGCTGGAGATTCGTTGGGTCTGAATTTTTTTCCAAAACACAAACCATCTTCCTTTGTCCACGGTATGTGATCATGACTCACTGGTGGAGTCAAACCTTTTTCGAATATCTGCTGAACTGCGCATACACATGGCGGAACATTTCTAGGTGGTCTAGGTGGCGGATGTTCAACAATTCGAGCTGGCACACGCACAATATCCTTTTTGAAACCGGAAATGAAATACTGCGTTTCGCCTTTCTCATTTGTGATGCCATTTATGAGAACGTTAGTTTTGAGAACATCCTCCGAGGCTATAACTTCTAATAAATTAACCGTCGATTCTGGAGGAGTTGGCGCGGGAGAATGCATTGCCATAGATCCTACAATACATCTATTACAAAAAAAATTATAAAATATATTTCGGAAGTATTATACACTCATTTTATTAGTATCATTACTTGTTCTTCTTTTTATCTTCAGCTATGGTATCTATCACGAAAAAGGGTGATTTCGTTTCCTTTGCCTTTAAATACGACTTTCTTGTTTGTCTGCAAGAACAACAACTATCGCATGTAGGTTCTCGAAATACTAGTCTCGTCACAGCTTCTATCCTTTTTATCAGGTTGTTTGCTTCCCTTTCTACTTCTCGAAATTCTTCATCCGCATTTTGCAACCACTCCTGCCACTTTGGGGATAAATTTTCTCTACCATTTGGATAAATTTTTTTATCCCCATCTCCAAGTTTTAGCACAGCAAAAAATCTTTCGTCGCTATTAGTTGGTGTTACATTCGCGATACCAGTCATTTCATATGTTACCGGGCACGTTGGTGGTTCATCGGCGGCACCTGATATTATGTAGTGAGCATGTTTCTCGCCAAGCCAAGATTTCTTATTTGGCTGAGGTGGTTGTAAAACACCTGAGATGTGTTATGAACAATGTTTAAAAATTATTCAGCATACTTCATTCATACCCAAACAAATAACATACCACATATTTTATACTCAACTGGCCCTGGCATTTCACTAACTCCATTGATTGTGAAATCAAATACTTTACTTCCGTTAGGTAATTGTGGAATATCAGTACGTTCTTCTGTATTTATTGTATTATTTACTATATCCAATTGCTTATGTTCTTCATTCTTAATATCTGAAATATAAATAGTTAATGTTAGGACAGTAATTCTTTTGATGATAGGGGTAATTTTTTAAAAACAGAACAGATTTTTTAGGTATCGAAGTTTGATAATACTTCCTATATAATGTTTGTACTTTAATGTATCATACCTATATTGGGTTTCTCTTTGAAAACATTACGTCTTTGCTTTTCTTTAGTAACATTAATACTGATTTTGTTAATAGGATTATTAGTAGAAGTATTAGTAGAAGTTTTCTCTGCGACTTTCACTGTAACATCATATTTTTGCTTTGAATTGATAGGAATATTCTTTTCTTGTTCTCTTTCTATGGAAATTCTTTGTTGATTATTTTGAGATAGATTCTGCAACTTGTTAGATTTATTTTCACCACTGTTAAAATTCATTTCTTTGTTCCTATATGTACTTAAGATACAGTCTTTAGGTGGCAATATTATGTTTGGTATCGGCATTAATTGACACTGTTTTTCCCAGTGTTGCAAACGATTATAGTAAGATGCCCAGTCTGGGCGTATAAAAAGTTCTTCTTCATAGGGTGATGGCATTTTTTTTCTTATTGGAGATGTCGGCGGTACAGCTACAATATAAAGAATATATGCTTATCTTGTAACTCAATAGTATATTTAACAACAAACATTACGTTTAGGAGGAAACTTTGGCATTATCACAGGAGGTAATCTTTCATGTAATTCTACTACAGCTTCTGGCAAAGTTAAAAATGCAATAGCTGATAAGATTATTCTCTCATTGGAGTCGTAAACTTTTCCTAAAATTTTAATAACATATGGTTATTTTATTTTGTTAAACAATCAATTTTGTACTAGTGTAATAACTAACTGTATCCTTCTTCTTCAAAATAGTTTCCTGTTAGTATTTTGTAGATTTCCCTTAGAAATTCAATTGCATTACAATTATGAGATACATGTAATTTTTTAATAATATGTGGTTTGAGTGTAAAAAATGTAGATGTTATTCCAATTTCTGAAAGTGTTCTCTGTGTACGTCCTGTTACCATTTCTTCGCAATCTTTATGCATTACACATTGCAACATCATTAAATTCTTCATCTATAATATAAAAATATTTCTTCAGGTAATATTTTTATATTTTATAATACTACACTGTATTTAGTGATATTATTAAGCACCATACTTGTCTAATGGAAAAATCTTGGTACCATCGAGGCTGAGTATTCACTTCTTTTTTCATAAAAAGTTCAACTAAAAATGGAAATATATTAAACATTCTTTTATCAGCAGTGTTATAAAACTATGAGGGTACATTATATATGTTTACAATTTTTTTTTCCAATAAGGGTATTTCTATCCATTTCTTCATTGTATAATTTCTGTTTTTCTTTCCACATTATATCTTTTGCAAGTGCAATCTCATCTTCTAGATACCATTGCAGTGGTTTATTTAGAGAACGCATTACTCTTGGATCATACAAATCCTCATATTGCTGTACAGATTTAAAATCATCGCGTGAAGATCCCCCACGAATACGTGGGTATGGACTACTTTGCAAACCATTTAAGATTTGTCTATGCTTCATAGGAAGTTTACATTTGTGATCTCCATTATCTAAGTGCTTAGTCGTTGGATTTCTTTCTTTCAATTCAAAATCTACAGAATCAGCAAATTGTGCTTGAAACTTTAAAGTTGGACTTTCATTTATTGTATGTACGGATATTGATGAAAACTTATAAAATGATTGCAGCTTGTTATAGTTTATTGGTGGATCAATGTCATCAATTGAACAACAAAAACCAAAAGGCTTCAGAATCATGTTTTCTTCTTCATACCTTTTAAAGAAAATTAATACATTTATGTTTAAGTTATGTATAACAAAATTTATATATTTACCTCCTGCGAGTCAACCTAAGTTGTGTATTAGATGTTTTTGATTTGATGGAACTAGACATTCTGGCCGAATGAAGTTGAAGGGTGGTGGTAATTAAAAAACTACGTTGTTTATTGTTTGGATGCCATTTAATTTGTGTTCTGTTACACTCGTGAATTTGAAAATTGAGTAATGGTTGTGTAAGGTAATAGTAGTTTGAAGTTTAGTGTAATGAATGTGCCTGCAGATACTACATTATATAGGGTAGCTTGCTAAAGATAAAACATTTTAACAATTCATTATTTGTACATGAATTGACTGATATCAAGTTTTTTAAATAAATATAAATATAGAAGAATGTGGCGCCATCTCGCGGCCAGAAGTGTAAACTATTTCACGACGAGCTTGGGCGGCTTGTTGAGAGATGGCGCCACATTTTCCGATATTTTTATTTATTTAAAAAACTTAATATCAATCAATTATTAATGTACAAAACATTAATTAGAAGTTGAATTGTGATAATTGCTATGTAAAATTATATGAATATGCAGAAAAAAGTACAAAATGTGAATGTGTGTGAAAAATTAGTTTGGTCGCCGCCGCTAGATGGCGATACTAGTCTTAGGTCCATTAACTTCCTCATATGCACTTATGTATGGAAATATATGATTGCAATGAGTCCAATGAATAATACAGAATAATTATTAACAATTACAGTGTTGCTCGTACTTCCTCTGGAGTAATTACACACCCCATTTATTCTTTTAAAAGGCTGGCTAAAATCTGCTCTTAGAAATCTATTGAATCATTCGATTTCGTGAATAGTTAATCTTGGCGATAGAAGCTTATAAAGTAAATTATTTATTTGCTAAGTTTTATGTCTAAGGCAGAATGGAATTTTATACAAAGCGATAATCATACTTACTTTAAGTCAATTGACTCGAAAAATTTAAAGATGTATACGCCATATCAACCGATCGATGTATCGATCAATTAGTGAATTACATAATCAAGGATTTCTCAAATGAGTTTTGTGTACTATTAATAAACAATCTTCTAGCGTATTCTCGACCGAAACAGTACCTTGTTAGAGTCGGAAACGGGCGTTTCGTATCTTTATCAATTTTTCGTTATGCGTCGAAGTTATGGTTGACGAAAATATCGAAGAGAAAATAATTGATCTTTACAGTCAAGGAAAGTGGATAGATATCGTCAATTTGGATTGTATTTCGAACGAATTCGAAAAATGTAGATTATTTTGGGTATTACCAACCATTAATGATTTGAATTGGATCAAAGAAATAATTGATAAACATAGTCTGACTGGATTAGCAAGTATAGGATGCGGGTGTGGGTTGTTAGAATGGTTGTTTCGAGAATATTCTGGTAAGTCGTTCATAACATACTTTGTCGAATGTAATTCGTCGAAATATTCGTAATTTCTAATTATAAACTTCTCGGATAATACATTTTTAGCTTTCGATTATTTTGTTTAAGGCCTGGATGTGATCGGCATAGAATTAGATCGGTCGTGGTGGCGTAGCAAATATTCTCCGCCCTTGTTTTTGGAAAATATATTTTTCGTTCAGGAGAACAATATAGAAAATTTATGTCTATCAGAAAAATACGCTCTTCTTTTTTGTTATTTTAACAACGAATTAGCATTTTCCGATTACGTTGCAAATTACAAGGGGAACCTTATTTTCGTCATTGGACCCGAAGATGGCCAACATCGTTTCACAGATCCGATGCCCTTCGATACGAAATTCGACGAGTATGGTTGGAAGTTATTAGATAAGAAACAAGTTGAACGATCTAATGATTACGTTACAGTTTACGCCAGATGACTAAGTATATCGATGATTGTTATCAGGCCCAGTGCAAGGCAGGTTCAGCGCGTTCGCGAATGCTGATACCATTAACAGATGCAAGACATTTTATTATTAGCGATGATTCAGTTTGAAGAAGTGACAAAAATCATTCAAAGTATTATTATTTAATATTCATCTTATAAAAGATATGTAACAGCATTTGTAAATAAATAATTCCGCGTTGTAAAATTTAAATGTAGGATTTGATTGTGAATTCAGGTCCCGTAAAATTTTTGAACCCAGCCCCGCAAAAGGTCACGCCGGCCCTGATTGTTATACTACAGGGTGTCCCAAAAATGTTGTAACACCTTGAAAGAGGTGGTTCAGGGGATGATTTGAAACAACTTTTCCCTTAGCGAAAATGTTGTCCGAGGCTTCGTTGAGGAGATATTAACGGAAAACACTGACCAATCAGAGCGCGCGTATACCGTTGGAGCGGCCTTGGTAGCGAAGGCTACGAGCTAAGCGGCCGGGTCCAATGTCCTTCGATGCACGTCGAGTCGCTTGTTCGTGTACAAGCGCGGCCGCTTAGCCCATAGCCTTCGCTACCACGGCCGCTCCAACGGTATACGCGCGCTCTGATTGGTCAGTGTTTTCCGTTAATATCTCCTCAACGAAGCCTCGAACAACATTTTCGCTAAGGAAAAAGTTGTTTCAAATCACCTCCCGAACCACCCCTTTCAATGTGTTACAACATTTTTGGGACACTCTGTATAATTGTTCAATCAGAACCCGACGAAAATTGAAATGCGAAGTTGCCGCTTGCTCGATTTCATAACTACGACGTTGAATAAAATAATACTTTTAATACTAACTGCAACTGTAATTGTATCAATTACTACTTTTTTTTCGTATTCAAATAATAATTGAAGAATTTTATTGTAGAAAATATACCGTTATTAATACTTTCTGTGTTTGAGTTTTGTTTCGACTAGCACGGTTGGAAAAGAACCACCAATCATCAATGTCATTGGTGATGGTCGTGGCGCGAATAAAATATATGTACACGTAAATATATACACCGTAAAGTGTCAAATTTTTGTATCGAGGAATAATGTCAACGGACACGGATATCAGTTCCTTAAAGGACGAAAACGATAAAAATAAGCTAAGAGTTTACTGCACGTTTTGCCCGTCGAAAATACTGAATGCAGGTGCAGGCCGTTTAGTAAACGTCGAGGTGATTAACTATCAATTATTTAATTAGGAAGGATTCCTACAAAGTTGAAATTGTCAATAATTTGTACTATTGTAAGATTATTATCATGCGTTCAACGATAATTTTGACGTATTCTTCATACTTTTGTATCGCTTCGAGACATAACCTCAAAATTTGTTTACTTTACAATAATTCATTTTATATGGAAATAAAATAAAGAAAAGTAAGTATTTAGCGTAAGAAATGTGGGTTTAAGTAGACTAAGGTCTTTAATAACATTTTAGTTTAAACTACCCTATGTACAACGTAAGGGAGAGGGTGAAGCAGATCAGCAGGAATCGATAACAGACTATTGGTTGGTGGAGGACATGTACACTTTCGAAAATATCGGTCTCTCGCTAACTGTAGACAACATAAAGTACTTAGCGTGCGCGGATTGCGAAAGAGGCCCTGTAGGTTGGCACGACTTGTCCACAAAAAAGTCTTATATAGCCCTAAGCAGAGTTAAGCACGAATGATCTACGAATAAAGGTGTTTTTTAATTTTATACGAGCCATGGTTTGTTTTCTTATCTGAGAGGTTGTGAGAGAAACAGAAGGAACATCTTGGAAAGCTTGGAGGAAGGATACGCGTCTCTATTTAAGTTGATAGTTTAATATTTAATCACGTACGTTACAAACACAGCCGGATAAATTAGATAATCAATCGTCGTTACGATGTAATAATCAATAAATTACGCTTAATCAGAAATTATTTATCGATATACTTAATACGTATGCATTCATGTGGATCGAGTTCATCGTAATGCATTGATTTTTAGACAGCGACCCTCGAGTCGCGAAACGTTTATGCGCTGTGCATGTCGATATAATTAATTACTTTATGTAATGTGTCGGATGCGTGGATATCTAAGTGTACATACTTATACATGTATTTGTATATGCATATAAATTAATGCGTTTTTAAACAAAAAAATATGATATCGGTATTTCAATTCAGCATCTTCGATGCATTCAAGGAAACATAAATTAAGAAACGATTTTTAATACCTCATCGTTACACTTGGCTCTCTAATAGAGAAGATTTTTGTTTGTCGAAGGCTTCGCTCGAAGATACAAGGAGATTTGTATGGCACTGTGCTTTATTAGTCGTTAATCAATCGATATTTCATATCTTTGACCAGCGAATTATTTTATCGCGAAGAAAAAATGTTCTGGCATACATATAAAACATATACATATACGCGCACACGTATACACGTATGCTTTAGCGAAGCATTCTCGGAAATGTTAATCGTAATTATTTATCGTGTATTTCCTCTAGACGTTTTCGATTTGCCTTAAATATTGGAAAAATAGTCGCGCGTTCGTTCCTAGTCATGTCGCGTCGTCCTTTTTTTTTTTTTTTTTTTAAATAGCATCACAGTGTTTTCATTTATTTTTCTCTCTCTCTTCTTTACTCTCTTGCGCGTTTCTTTTTTTTTCGAACAATTCGACACGTAAATGGGTAACTGCGAACGGGTAATTTTCGGCAATTACATGTAACAACCGCGACGGTGTACGCTAATCGTCAGAATTGCGAGACGACGATGGCAAATGACGATGTCGATGATAACGCGAAAAAGTTTGGCTACTATGAGTAAAAATTGTGACGAATCACGAGATTAAATTAACAATACAACGGTTCTATTCGTAATAATTATCCAGCTCGCAATAAATAATAACGTGTCGATAAACTGTAACGGTGAACATTGGATCAACAATACGTATCAATTCTACGCTAAGAGAATTTTTTTTGTTCTCCTTTCTTTCTCTCTCTCGCACGCACATACACACTCGCACGAAATAGCGTAATACTCGAAAATGACAATCTTCAATGAATTAGCGTTTATAAGGCTCGTATCTAACATGATTTACTCGACTCCATCGGTCAGGATCACCGCTTTGTTGGAGGTCGTAGACGTAACGATTCATTTTATAGATGAAAATAAAATAAAATTGGATTCGGCATTTTGTTTATATTTCCGCAGCTTTGCTCGAATTGGAGAAACGTAACAGTGTCGGGAACTGTATTTTACAATAATCACATAAACATCGTACAATTATAGTTCAAGTAACAGGTGCAGACATTATTGTATGAAAAAATTCGTTACGTTTGCGACCCTCTGTTTGCTACCTACCGTCAGACGTACGTTTCTTTTATGAACGAAGCTTTGCGATAGGCGAATATCAGCCGGCACTGATACAATACAATATGTACGTATATTGTAATCACGTTACACAGAATCTGTGCCTTCTACCCTTTGGCAGACGCAGTGAAAAGGTATAAAAATAACCAGGATAAAATCGGATAGACTGGAAAAATACAAGGTCTGCTAAAAGAGAAGCGATTCCTCTAGGCATATACCGCGTAGTTTGGAACACCCTGTACGCACGTGGACGTTTATGCTACCCGTAAAATGTCCGATAATCATCGTCGACAATTGTTTCCGATACGGTGATAATTTTGAAAATAGTAGGAATAGCAGATTTCGGACATTGACTGAAACACGCACATGATCGTGCGCGTCTTCCTTTCGAATTTTTACGTGCCCATAAATAGCATCGACCGTTAATCAACGTTGCAACGATTAGTTTCAAAGATTGAACGAATGGACTCGCGGGTGTTTCGTGATCGAGCACGCTTACAGTGGGTGTAGAAAGTATTCGTACACCGATCAATTTCCCAAAAAAACTGTATAAAATTGATAATTTATTAACTTATTCTTGACAAACAACGACATTCTACATATTCTTGGAAATCTCTAGAATAGATAGAGTACAAAATAGAAATAGCTATTTATGTGAGTTGCAAAATTAACAAGAAAAAAAACAATTAATCCATAGAAATATCGAAGCAATAAGTATTCGCACAACTGTTTAATTTTTAAAACTTCGTTAAAAGAAAAAAGACATTTACATTTTTGTTAATTCCGCAAATTATATCAACTAGTAAATGTTGTTTGGACTATATCTATCTTAGAGACTTCCGAGAATATGTAAAGTATCATTGATTATAAAAATAGAAGTTAAGAAATTACAATTTTCCCCAAATTTTCGGGAGAAATTGATCGGTGTACGAATACATTATACACCCACTGTATTTCGAAAAACCGTGCAAATTCGCACGGTAGAAACTCCGCCCAGTGCGAGAAGCCACGTGCAATTGATCGTCGTTCGATGAACGATTAATCTGGTTAAAGTCTCGCTGCACGATGCAGAACGAAAGCACTTTCGCTTCTCAATGGCGAACGCCACCTCTAGAGCCGAAGAAAACGGAGACGCGGATGAAACCGAATATACATATACGCAAGAGACATTCGACGATGACGCTGGTGTTAACGTTGGATATCGGTTAAAAGATCGGTAGAAGTCGCTTAAGCTCCAGAGAATTCAACATTCGCCGCCTACGCATTGGTATGGTGTAGAAATCAACCGTGAAAAATTCGAGGACGAGGCCCTTCCGGCAACGATTCGCCCTCCGTTTCACGGTTTTCTAATACTGTTTTAGCCAATAGCTCGTGATCGATACGATCTCCGCAACTGCGATCTTCAAATTTTATTTCAAATCACTTTTTTAAGTGATTTTAAGCCTCATCGAGGCCGAGTCACTTCCTCTCGAGTTGCAGAGACTATCGTGCGGCGGCTTTCGTGCTTGTTTTCGGCAAGGACACGCTTGGAGAACCTTGTCGATGCGAAACGAAGGACGATTCGGGTACATGTTCTCGTAGGAACCTCGCCCCGTCTCGCATACGTGCACAGCTAAGTAATTATATGACGCTAAAGAGTTAGGATTACGTGTCTTGGTCCGTGGAGTATTAAATATTAACGACATTAATTAATTTATTCACCAAACGCTCCCTATCGCCTAAACGACAGCTTGTTCGCTGGCGGCAGGTGACGCATATAAAATGTAGTAATAAGTTTACTTCTTTCCCATGGTACCAGAGGCGCATTATACTTTTTAAACAATTAATACAATTTTGAGAAAGTTTCTCGGTGCTCGAAAGAGTTGAGTGGTATGTTACTGAAATTTCTTTTTAAAGATCTTAAATTAAGCGGTGGCGCGCCCATTATTTTCCTCGATGAGATAAATATTCGTCTTTTGCGTCCTGTTTTTGCTTTTTTTTTTTTTTTAATAGAGATTGAACATTTCATTTTGCTTTCAGTTATACGGTATAATGCGCCGTCGTTCGGTACGATTGAAACGTCCCCGGCGAATGAATTTTTCCCGTCTTCTGATCGGCGAACTCGGTTCTACGCAATATTCGTTGTGTCGATATTACGTGTTATCCTTGGATATATTCGTTTGAAAACGGCGTCATACTTAAGTGAAGCTTACTTTTGCGACGCCCGTCGGCATTCGTACGATTATCGTCTACGATCTTAATTACAATCGTAATAAATGTATAGTGGATACAGTATAATTATATTGTCCACAGTGACACCATAAAAACGTATCATTTTCTCGAACAAACTTTCTCGTATCGGTTAAATGAAGAAATGGTTGACAACGAGTTGCGAAGCGCTTTAAAACGTTGGATTTAATTAAGCGAATACGTCTGCGCCCCACCCACCCCCCCCTTTCCCTCGTTTCTATGCGCACTGGCTTGGAACGCTAGCTCGTTTTTGTACAAAAATTACAATGAAACGTCGGGTCGGGGTGGAGTTATGCCTGCGACCGTTATAACTATAAGGTATGCGAATCTGATTACTCTAGACACGTAGGACATATTTTTGTTTCTTTGTTTGTTTCGTGTAACTTTATATTGAGCTTGCTGAAATCGTTAAATCCCTTCCACTCGATCATTCGCTCGAAGAACGCTTCCTCGGTAAGCCTTCCCGGTCGACTAAACGGCAGAGCTCTGCGAGTAGAGATGGGCGAAACTTTGATCGGACAAATGTTCGTTCTAATTCTTACTCGACTAGAATTTACATAGAAACGTTGCCTATTTCTATCTTTGACTCGTCATTTGGAATTTCGCTCACCTCCGAGTTCGATCAGTTCGAGTAGCGCGAACAACTTTCCGGTAGTTCGACAGCTCTGCCATAGCAGTCGCGATTACCTTACAGTCCGAGAGCCCGCGACATAAAATTTCGCCCAATTTCATTGCAAATATCCGTTTGCTATTTCACTGTTTTCTACTAAAGAATAAAAAGAATCCAAGGCTCGCAGCGCACAAACGGCGCATCGCTCCGCTAGAAAGTCGCGAACGTGTAAGAGATAACAGTAACTTTTTTCTTTTGTATCACAACAATGCACACTAAAAATTTCAGTAGTGATGATTTTGGCGAAAAATCGAATTATTATAACACGGCATAGTGAAGCGTTGCACCACTGAATTCATGCCAGACCAAGCATTTCTGAACTAGGGAGGCATACACCATCTTCGGAAAACAGGTTCATTTGTGTAATGAAATGAGTCACCCGTTTCTGTCGCGGGCTCTCGGACTATTATTGCATAATCGTCGTTTGTCGATCGTCTTCGAGACCCTCGTACGCACGCGATCGAGTCTGTAGTTTCTTTGGTCTGCGATTGATATTGCTGAAGAGCGAAGTGGCGTAACAATTCGCCTCGTTCCCAGCCACTCGCTCTCGTTACAATTCCTCCGAAAGTTCGTAATAAGAACTATGTTTAGAAGTAGTAGCGATAATAACGATACAGTAGTAGTACGGTAGCAGCGGTATCAAGTAATATAATGGTAATAACAATTATTTCTTTCTTATAGGTAACGGTAGTAATAGTAATAATATTAATAGTGGTAGTAATAGTAATAATAACGACAGCGTCGATAGTATCATAGCGATAGAAGTTATATCTCTAAAGGTACACGGGTTACTCGGAGAACACGTCGAACGTCGGTTTTCTCGAGTTACGATCGTAAAGAGTTCGTTCGTTTGGTATTTTCTCTTTTATTTATTTTTTTTTCTTTTTTTTCTTTCTTTTTTTTCTTCTTTTTTTTTTGAAAGTCCACCGTTCCAGACAGCGTCCCATGTTTCGTAATTACTTTCAAAGTTACAATTGAACCGCGCGAAGCGTAACTGTTAACCGCCTGTCGTCTAATATTTTCTCGATTAATCTCTACGTTCTTCTAGGTTGTTTCTCGCGCGGGCAAAGCGTACTTTGTTAGACCTAATCGCAAGCTTTACCCGTAATACGTTTATTTCACCCCCTGTGCATCGCGCGTTTATCGTCTTGCTTCGTTAGAATTTCTCGTCGAGAAAGAAAACCAAGGAAGGTAGTTCAGAGCTATAGGCGTGAGGTTCGTTCAGTTTTCTCGTCGTATTTAGGGCTAAAGACTGTGCGAGTTATTTTTATTATTCGAATATTTTATAAATCCTCGAACGCCGCGAATAAACATTCGCGACAACGATCATTCGAGTATTCTAGTGAAACGGAGCAACGATATTTTTGCGCTTACCGATGTTTCCGAGCAACGCGAAAGATATCGGCGTCAAAGTCAAATTCATCCGAGATAAAATGAGTAACGAATGGTCACTGAAATCGTCGAAAGGTTCCGATATACGAATAGAGAAAAACTGTGCGAGTAGTCCCAGCCCTGGTATTGCTTCGATCGTATGGGTGGTATTACGAATGCTTAAAGCTATCAGCGCGAAAGCTACCCTGAACGATCGAGAAAAGATAATCTATATGTATACATATATTTATTGATATATGTATATATATATATATATATATTATCACGTGATACGTACGTATACGCAATATCTACCGAAAAGCTTCGATGGAACGACGATTGATTAACCAAATTTATATGTATACATGTATATATACATATACATATAAATCATATAAATCATATATATATACATATATACATATATATATATATATATGTATTTATTTCTTTTTGTACAGCGGAATTGTATGCATTGCAGCCCCTGCTCCCTTCGGTTTAAAAGCAAACGGTCTTTTTTATCATTTTTTTTTTTTTTTTCTTTGAAAGGTCTACGGAATACAGAGCTAACCTGCGATCGTGTCGAGTTTTGCCGCGATGCCGTTTAATCGATTAGAATACCGAAAAAAAGAGGTCGATCTTTAAGTAAAAGGCGAATCACGAGTTAGCGATTTCATGGACGACACTTGCATCGACCTTCTCCTATTTGTAGTGAGATTACACGAACAAGTATAACACGTTCCTTAAGCGAATAGATTTGATTCGTTCAAGCTAATCCGTCAGAAAAGCGTCCTCGAATTAACAGCGTGACTACCCGACAAGAGAAGAGAAAGTAAAGAAACAAGCGTGTGTCACGTGTGCTTGGTTCCATCTGTCCATTTTTTTTATTTTCTTTTTTATTTCTCCCTTTCCTCTATGCGTGCGCGCCCCTCAGAGATCAGCAAAATTCCATTCGAATAACGGACAATGAAATTAACGTACACGAAAACAATAGATACGTTTCGCCATAAATGTATCGCGAATGTAAATTATATCGCTCGATCGGCCGCTGTAAATTTCCGTTTATTCGATGCCAAATGGATGCTTCCTTCTATAATATAAATATTAAATGTTCACCTGGACAAGAATTTTGCTCATCCCTGGCGCCCGTCTGCCTTCGAGTGTCGCGCGTGTATATGTATTTAGGTTCGTCGTCGATCACACCCTCTCGGGATCGACCTTTATCGGGGAAAAGGGTGCTTTTAAGAATTATCACATGTGAGAAAAGATGAAGACGAGGCTAATCCATCGACTCGACAGTTTCTTTTTCCCCGCCCCTTGCGCGACATTCCAAACTTCGAAACACTTCTATGTCCTTCGTGGAACAGTTCCGATGACCAATCGCGGCGTTTCGATTGCGTCCAGCGAAGAAGAGATCGTCCGATACTATTTTCGATTCGCTGGTAGGGCACTTTCGCGTCGATGGACCTTCTTTGAAAGAACTTGTTTCCGTTTTCCTGTCGATGTCCGCGCCGGGTTCTTCCGTCCTCGGACTATAGCTTCGAAAGTACCGTCAACGATCGAGCAACGATCGTGGGATTGTTTTTCTTTTTTTCTTTTTTTTTTTTCTTTGTATTCGCAACGGACGCGCGTATCGCGACAGAGAGAGTTTGTCGATCGACGATCGAAAAGTCCTTTCGACGGGTTGCCTCAAGGTGCCAGTCTACGAGGAGCCCTTGTAGTGGATGAAGAAAAAGGTGAGGAACATGAAGTAGGCGACCGGGAAGATGATTCGTGCTATCACGTCGATCGTCTTTGCCACTCTTATCGGATGCGGTGGCTCCTTTTTCCTCAGCTGGAACAGGGATACCTGTGCGTCACTAAATATTTATATCCCTTCCTCGGCGAGGGCTCTATTGCCCTCGCGTGGAGGGAAGTCGGTAGGATTCGACGTAGAGAGGAGTCTCGATCGATCGAAAGGGTTGACACGTTCGTCGCCCAGCGCGATTCGGCTTCCATAACACAAGCAATTTTCAAAAATTTCTTCGCGGTAATGTTGACGTATTGACAGTTCAGGCGAGATTGACTGAGTTAAAATCGCAGCGATGTATCATGTAGTAGCCTTTAGAGCTGTTCGAGTACTCGGAAAAGGCCGGTCCGAGTCGAGTACTCGGAAGAAACGAGCAGCTCAAAGGAACCGAGTAGCTCGGACAGAAGTAAGCGGCTCGGATTATCCATTTCAGGCGCGTGAAGGAAATCGAACAGCTCGAACGATTTAAGTACATTCGATGAATACATATTCACATTCACTGAATTCACACGCATTCATTCTTTGAATGTGTACTTAAATCGTTCGAGCCGTTCGATTTCTTTCACACGTCCGAATAGGATAATTCTTTCGAGCTACTCGGTTCCTTCGAGCTGCACGTTTCTTCCGAGTACTCGACTCGGATCGAAAACTGAGTCTCAGTTCGACTCGACTCGCGAGCAACTCGAAACATCCGAGTTTTCTGTAGACCTAGTAGCCTTCCGGTTGTATCGCGTCCCCTTTCGCCGCAGCGGCGAAAACGCATAGTGTGGCCCCGGCCTAAGGGTTAAATTCTGTTTAAAAATCCAACTGAAAGTCCTATTAACTCGAACAAGAGGAGCGTCACCCATATTTCGGGCCACGTGGAAGTACACTTGTCACCCACATATGGGTGACACGCGACGAACGTGTCAAGGAGGATTGCAACTCGAGGAGGTTCGGTTGGGGGTTTGGTTATCCCAGGGCTAAACAAACGCAGCGACGATGGCGGCTCGATTGGCTCTAAACGGGGGAGAATAGACGCATACGAGCGGGAAGGACCATAGCTCGGTGGTCAGTAATTACGAATAGAGTGGGACGACAATAGCACCGCGAGGAAAACGAGCTATTGCTGGTATAACGCGTATCGATTCCCAGGATCACGAGGTTAGATGTTTCGGGGTTGATAGGAACAGGTTAATTAACATACCTCGGCGGTGCATCCATTGGTGGCCGTGTGCGTGCAAGGATTAGGTCCACAGTTGGTGCAGGTCACGATCTCGTTCGGTCCTGTCGTGCCTCCGGTTGGTGGACCGCCCTCTCGCTTCTTTTTACCCTGCGACAGGGTCTCCGTAGAAGAAACTTATAGTCTCATGATCATTCGTGCAAACAACGATCCATCCTTCGACCAACTTCAACGTTTCTAGATTTCTCGATAATTTTCCCTTCCCTTTTCGTTTCTCTATTACATCGTCGATTGATTATTGGATCAAACGACGAGGAAGGAAAGGCCACTGGTTGGGCCGAGAATCCAAAACACGAAGATCTCGCGTTGCGAAGTTAACGAAAGTCAAAGGGATAGAACGTTACACGATCTTAGAAGAGAAACGAATTCTACACAATTATTCGTCAGCCGGAACTTTTCCTGTTCCGTTGAATCGTTTTCAGGAAAATTTCGTTTGGATGGACGCGGTCGGCATCCGTTCGATTTCTATGGTAATCGATCGAGTTCGAGATGACAAGCGTATAAGTCAAGCGTGATAATGGAGGCTTTGATCGAGGCGGACAAGCTTGCACGTTGTACAGGCGTGAATTTCGAAAACTCGCACGCAAACGCGTCGATCGACATAATTGGAAACGCGACGATCGCTGGTGGTACACGCATCTTTATCGCAAAAACGAAACTTTCTAGTGTTTCTCAGACTTTGCTTACTAAATGAATACCGGAGAAAATTCGAGAAAAATCCTGATTACGTTTCACCAGACGAACTTGAATTTAACGAATTTAATTGAATTTAATGCACGACGTTGTTTCTTGACGATCAAACTAGTATTACAGAGTGAGAAACACTGTTTCAAAGAGACATGCGTGTTATCGCAAGCTCTCGTACCCTCTTCCACGCCCAACGAGCAAGCAAATGTTACAGATAAGCAGAAAAAAAATGATAATACACGGCATAGACTGCGGATTACGAATTAAAGAAAATCACCCACGATTAATTAGCCTCGAACCAAGGTTAAAGTAACACTTTCCTCGTAGAACTGTTTAACTATAAGCGGGTACCTTACCTTTAGGGGGCCCTACGTTTGTCTAGAAGTCCCCCTTGCGTTAAAAAGAAAATACATTTCTCGTAACGGACAATATCTCTGACAAGAGAATCAACATTATCAAACCTGCTAGTTCGAACGCTATTAACACGTTGATTGCCACACTGATTCACATGGAAATCTGTACAAGACTAAAATTTTGTCTCGAGACTATTGGGAATTATAGAATCTATCATTTGTCGTATTACCAATTTTTTATATCCCTGTACAAATTTACGAATTCTATCTAGATTCGTTTTCATTAACACTCAGTCCTTAAAATGAATTGTTGAAGTTCCACAGTGAAAAGCTCCGTCATCCCTATATATGGGTGACGTGGCGTTCAACGTGTTAAGCGAGCGGTTTGCTACTATAGGCTGAAAATAAAGAGCCTGAAACTATTCTATCTTGTTGGTACGAACTCGAGGCACACGTACGTGTGAAATTTCGACTGTAAAAGCGAGCATGTACCACCAGGAACCGCGTGAAATCGTCGTCTTCGCGAGGTCTCCGTTTCAAGCGACAAGTTTCGCGCAGACCTTATTTTCGATCCGAGTTCCTCTTCGCGGGTTCGTCGAAAAGTGAATCGTTGTTTCTCTCTTAACATACACACGTCGTATGTATATCGATCAACACTTTCGTGCCTCTGCGTATAACTTACGAATCACATGCCGTATAACAATCTACGTTTTACGTTGTCACGCATCGGATTCGAACGTTTGCCGAAAAAGTGATTATCGATTCATCGAAAGAACGGAAGTTCTCGTTTGATCGTCGACGACCTCCGCTCGATCCCGATGCCAACATATCCACTCTCTCCTATGACAACTGTACATTTCTAAGTCGTCGCTTCGACGATGACTTTCTCGGGCACAGGTTCCCCCGCGAAATGATACTCGAGGTCTTTCGATCAAGGATCTCTTACGTGATCGTCGCGCAGTTTAATGATTTTAAGATTCAACTTCGATGTCTCGAGTCATTGATTTTAGAGAAAGCGTTAACGATAGAAGATTCTTTCCTAGCTCTGATCAACGATCGTTACGTGTTTTCGGAGTTGCGTCGTCGCTTTTACGATTTTGATAAATTAATCGCCGCGAGGCACCGTCGATTAGCGACGCAATTACGTTAATTGCTCTTCCGAAAGTGAAACGCTTCCATTAAACTGGGCGACCGATAAAGAGGATCCCCGTACCGATTGCATTTTGAGAAAGGTATTTAATGTCAGGCTTATGCTACATGTCAAGCTTTAATCGGGGTAAGTTCCATGGCAAAAAGCGATTGTTGGTATCACAGTCAAGGCATGATATATAATACGTTATATATATATTTGTTAAAAAGTAATATATATATATATATATTATATATATTATATATATATTTGTTAAAATGTATATATATATATATATATATATATATATATATATATATATATATATCGCGACTAATTACGGCTCAACGTTACTCGCGAATAAGGCTAAAGAAACGTAATTAAACATCGAATGAATAGCGAGAATGAAACGACCCATAACCGCGCGATGGCTGTCTTCTAACGCGCTACTCGTAATCGTTAATGCATGTTTATATTCGTTACCGAGAATGGATTTATAGTATTAACCAGCGATCGCGAACGGCCATTTTGGAACGTGATTTATCGTTGTTGTAACGGACCCTTTTAGTCTCAAACCCCCGTGAATGCTCTATAGTTCGTTCACCTTTCGATGAATTTCGGTAAAAAGAAGTGATTTCATCTGCGAACCCGCCTACGTTGTCAACGAGTGCCTCTGAATCTATCGAGAAAAACAAAGTATAATTGTTCTTCGTTCGATCTCTCGATGAACAGTTGACACGACTCGACGAAAACCGATTTTCCGTTGAAAAGAAAAGCGCCGTCCGCGAATCAAAGTACGCAAGCTGATAGAAGCGTCGGGCAATTTTTGATCAAAGTGTCGATGCATCTACTTCGACCCGTGGATGAATCAAATGGTCGAATGACGCACTGTTGCACCGGTGCAGACTCAGCCCAGGCCTAACCTCGCCTAACGCAGGGTTCAGGACGCGCCACGCTGAGTTAGGGTACGATTAGGTCTGAGATCGATAATCAATCCAACGAAATTAGCCGTCAATCGACCAACTGTGGTCGGCAGTACTCGATCGCTACTCAAATATCTCGGCAAATCAACTCTTTACTCGAGCAAAGCGTAAACCGCAGAAAAGGCTTCCGTCGTGCATTGGGCATCGGATCGATCCCATAATCGCCCAAGTGCACCGGCTTCTGCTACTATTCGCTACTTCGATCCTTCGATCCGCGAGCGACGCGGGCAAATTGCGACTCGAGTAATCGCTTTTACCGATCTCCATCCGTGTTACGTGTTGCAAACGTGAGCGATCAAGCGACATCGAAACGCAAATAGAAGAAGGACGATTTATATTCGGAAGCCTCGTCGCGAACAAGCGCAACGTTAACAAGCGTTAATGTCCTGACGTCGGACGGAAATACGCTGTGCGTCATAACCATAGAATCAACCTAAATTTTACGAGTCCTATACGTTGCGATACGAATTAACACCTTGCGGGTGAGTGTGACGTTTCAGGATGCGATATAGCGACGTTTCACGTAATAATTTTAGTTCTTACACGAGATGACGTACAGGTAACTTACGTTACGCTTTTAATTGAGGTGTTTCATTTGAAAATGGAGTAAGTCCATTTTTTCATGTATCGAGATATTTGAAGGTTTGCATTTGAATTAATTTGAAGATATTATTGGCGAACGTTTTCGACAACTTTTAAATTTTATTATAAAATAGTAATTATTTTAAAAATAAACGATCTTTTTAGCTCCAAATGGATTCATACCACTTTCAAAAATAACATATTATAAAAAATAAAAACAAGAGGAAATTTATGTCGATACTTTTCTAGACATTAGCCTCACTGAAATGGATTTTTTCATGTAAATAATGATAATTATAACGAAGACATGTATATGTACACGTGTAACCAAGTATATTAAGAATTAATTTCACTCATATTAAAAAGATGATATAAATAAACAAGTGTGAAATAGTAAATTACTTCGTTAAGATAACTAAAAATAAAAGAAAGATTAAATTTTAAACTTATTTCTCCTTTACAGTTGGCATAGTGAATTATTCGTGATAAATAAGTGGTATGTAAAGCAGTAAACTCATCGTATCGTTGTATTTCTCTCTTGTTATTAGGAACGGACTTATTCCACTTAAAAAAAAAAAATTTTTTTCAATTTTCTTATAACCAAAATTCTCTCGTTTACTTTATGAAAAAATCGTACTCCATTGAGTATACATCAATAAATATGAAGAGAAAGCATTTTTTTTTTTTTTTTTTTTTTTTTTTATATATAGAAGTGGACTTCTTCAACTTTCAAATATAACAGCTCAATTATATATAATGGCTCTGATAATTTATATATAATGATAATTATTGCTTGGACGATTGGTAGCACCATCAACTTGAGATATCAAAGTAAATGCCTCGCAAATTGCCCGCAGACAAATACATTCTATCAAACCTATAGATTTTTCCTCCGAATTCGAGAGGTGCCAAACACTCCAACACGGACATCGCTTTTAACTCGAATATTTTAACTGAACCTTGCTTAAATTCGTGAGATCGTAACGTATAGAATCGGAAAATGTTAGAGTGATTCTGTATACGTATGGCGTACAGTATAATTTTCAACGACCTCGAGAGTAGCCGCCCCTATTGAGACGCGGATTCCGCGCATGTCCGCGAGGCGGAACCAAAAGAATCGGCAGCCCCGTCGAGGCAACAAGGTACAGTGTTGGTCGAACAAAGTATCACCCCGACGTACAACATGCATCGTGCGCGCAAGTTACCATTGTTCATGCATCGCATGCGTCTCATGCGTAATACGTACAGTCGAACGAATCTCCGTCATCGATACAAAATGCGGATCCATGCACGCAGCGACACAATCACTTGGATTTACACCAGTTACGAAGCTACTTCAAGGCAGCGAATATCAAACTAACCATAAACGCTCTTAATCTTATCTCACTAGCGAGAAACCATTCCCTGTTTCTTCGAATATATCCCCCAAATTAATATTCCGTTCCGCGCGAGTATCCCGACACGTATACGAATTCCGCAAATCCCATTTGGATCTGATCTCCCGGTGAAAAAGGACCGGTCGGTCGCGTTCCCTTCGTTCCGTCGCGGATTTGCGGCCATCAAGCCCGTATCCTGTAAATCCAAGTCACGTCTCGACGAGATAGAAACGAGCAGAAGAATCTAGCAGGCGCAGGCATCGTTGGCTGAGCTATTTCGTACGTCTACCTTTTCTCTGTGCAGGTTGCTCGCAAAATTCGTCGTCGGTTCTGGAAATTATCGCGAAAACGTAACGACAGATTTACGAAAACGAAACGGAACGCCGCGATCTAGAGGGGATCGCGCGGAGAGAATTTTGCGGCACCCTGCGGAAGCGTTTTATTGCAGTTGCGTCGCTCGCGAATCCATGCACTTTATCATGCGCCGTTTGAGGAGTACGAAAACAGAGACTAATATCTACTAGGGACAGAGAGTGTGACTAGTGACAGAGTCGGACGGTGGAGGAGAAAGAGAGCGAGAGAGAAGGATAGAAACAGAGAGACGGCATGAGCACAGGCGAGGAGAGTATAATAAGTAGGGGTAGAATTCGACAGGGGCTCGAGAGGGATGTTCCTTCTCGTTGCGAACTTCGGAAATTTCAAATATCCTCGGAGAAATTCGAATCGCACGTTTCATCGAACGCGACGGTTGGGTCGTTCGTTGCGTTTCGAGTTCCGAAACTGAATCGAGATCGAAACTATTCGTCCCCGAAGACCGTCGCTCGATCGCCAACGGGAAGCGATCGCGAAGTTTTTTTTCCTTTTCAGATATTTCTCCGTCGCACTTTTCGTTCGACGCAAGGCTCGAAAAAAGAGGTGAGAAAAGAAGGAATGAAACTCGGAGAAATCCGAATGGATCCGTCTATCCGCGGACGAAATTTAACTTAGAATTTCGTCGGAACATCCCGCTCGGTATCCTCGATAAAATGCACAGCGAAGGAGGGCCAGAGAAAGATAAAGGATTTTTCTGTTCTCTCGAACGACAGCGAGAGAATAATTGTGTGTCCGTGTTACGACGTGTGAGCGCGCGCGCGCGCGTGTGTGTATGTGTGTCTGTACGTGTACAGTTGTAGGCGTAGATGTGTGTGGTTCGTGTGGTTCGTCAGGACGCGGTTAAGACCTTGCACGTGCGCACCCTTTTGCGAAACGTTTGCCCCGGAACAGGAAGATCGAGATAAAGAGAGGAGACGCGGAACAACGAAAATGGTTACTCGAGCGTCGTTCGATACCGTCGAGGAGACCGTGGCGGCGTTCAATCCTTTCCGGACAGTTCAATTTTCGGTTCTCGATTCGGAGAAGGGAATCTCGAATAAACGTGGAATCACCGTAAAACGATACAAAGATAACGTAGGAACGTTATTCAAGGTGGAGCGCTGAAAAATTATTGGACACGTATTCGTTTGTTGTACTCGACAATTTTAAAGATCGCGAGATAGAAAACGCATCGGACTAATATTGTTCGGTGGTCCATTTGTGTGCAAAGATTCGAATCTGACGTAAAATCTGGCGCGTAACAAACTACGCGATCCCTGTTAGTCGCGAGACGCACCGATTGAAACGTCTGACCAAATACGGGCCTATACTACTTGTAGGTTTCATCTTTCTTCCGCGTGACGTCTGCCTAGCTAGCCCCCCCCTCCCCCACTCACATAAAATTTAAGGAAAAAATTACGTAATAATGAGCTATTTATGCGCTAATAAATTTTTTTTGCATTAAACGGAGCGAGCGCAAAATTTTGTTTCTTACGGATTTGAAAAGCGCATAAATGGCGCATTATCATGTAATTTTTTTTCTTAAATTTTATGTAAGTGAGGGGCTAGCTTAAGCAGACGTTTCCGCGTGCGCTATCGTTGAAACTTTTGTGCTCACAGTATCCAATTGAAATCGTAATTCTCTTTGGTTTTCCCATCCGAAACAGAGCCGAAAATTGTTTCGATACGTTTGGAAGTCACGTGTACTGCTTGTACACCAGCAAAATGTACCTAGGAGTACCCGTAAGTTTCTCTACTCGTTTCGAACTTGGCCAGGCAGATGGTTAAGGTATCTGGTTTACCATAGACTGTGTAGTTAGAGACAGCGTCGTTTGAAAAGAGTGGCGAAACCTACGAGAGTTGCCAAGTGCAGGCCTGTGATCGTTCCTCCTCGACGGATAACGAAACGAGATTGAGTCGAAGCACCGATCGAATAGAAAGCAGATGGGTTTTCGGATAACGCGCGAAGTCGTGACCGCGCCCTAATGCTATGGGGGGTCTTACCAAGGGGCTGGCCAATATTATCCCTATCCTGCTGAGGACCGCTGGGAGCCGCTGCAACATCACAGACACCAAACAAAGAGACTTACTCACCAACATTTCCACCAACCAGATTCTTACTAATCGTGTGTGTGTGTATGTGTGTGTGTGTAACAACGTGTTTGTCTTTCCCCTTATCGTCAGCAATTTCTTTTTCTGCTGTCTCTCATTTTTTTTTTTCGTAATTTTTCACGGTTTTTTTTTTGCATCATTTGTTCTCTGTTCCCTTATCGTACCTCTTTTTTCGCTCGACTTTCCCGGTACGTTTTCGCTATCCTCGGTACCGTGCGGTCGGGACGTTACTCGAAAGCGCTTTCGACTACTTTCGACTACTTTCGCCCCCGAAGCTTCGCGGCTCCTACCGCAGATGGGCAAAATTTTGTTTTCATCGAGGCAAGTATTTCGATCTAAAATCGTGCACGCAAATTATTTCGTTCAGCTTTCCATTGAACGAACGATAGCTCAGACGAACGAAGCACCGTACAGAGTTCTTAGTCGCGCGTTAATCGAGTAAAATTCTGCCCAGCTCTGGATCCTAGCGATCGAGAAAAGATTCGGACGGATAAAACGGATATATAAAATGGTTCCTCGAAAAGTACACGCGGTAGAGCGCGGAAGAAAGCGATCTCGGAAACGTGGAATCGAATTTTGTCGCGCGAAACAACGTCGGATCCATTTCCTTCTCTCCGATTCGATGGAGAAAAATCCGATTCGTTGCGGTAGCCTTGCTCCTCGATGGTTAGGCTTTTTCCTCGTTTTCACGACAACTCTCGACAAATTGTACATGCAAGGAACACAAACACAATACAATCTGCCAGCGGAGCAGCAACGGTGGCGATACGGTCGGCAGTATTTCCTCGTGATCGCGAGCGAACCACAAATAAAGAAAGAGGTAAAATGGTTCTACGATCGTTGGCATCACCGCTAGCTTGCGCGTACGCGCGTTACGACCGTCGATATTCCCGTTCACCGACCGTTAACCCCTTCCTGCCCGCACGTATGCACAGCAAATACTACTTACAACTTAATTTATTTTACTTGCTGGTCAAATTTACTTGAGAATCAAAACTAATCACTCTTTGATTTTCATTTCGTCACGATTTCCGCATACATCTACGAACACCCGACACGTAACTTTCTATTGTTTCTTTTCATTCATCGGAAAACCGCACAGATCGCTATATACAAAAAAAAAAAAAATAAAAAAAAAATACAGCTGATATCGTGACAATAATACAAATAGTCTGAAACTCGCGCATCGAAAGCGATACGATGGACACGAAGGGTTTAACGCTCGTCGCGTTCGAAACTGTACTGCGAGAGATCCAAAGATCGAGCGGATCGCGATCGTAACGCGCAGACACGCGCGAAAAATAGAAAATTGGTCTGTGAAACGGTAAAACTTTCGGATACAACGGTGCGACGGTATCCGTGAAACAGGAACAAGTATATATATATATATTCGCTTTGTTCGGGTTACAAAATTGCAAGGATAAAAAAGAGCAAATAGAGAAGATTGTACAGAGAAAAAGAAGGGGGGGGGGGTCAAAGAGAGTGAAACTGTTGGAGACATGCAAATACTGCAGCCTCGGTCGAGCCTGACCAGAGTACGGAAAATTCTCGGGACACTCTGGATTAATTGCTTCGCGTAGCTCGAAGTCGTCGAACCAAGCGTTCGCACTGTTATTCGGTGAACGCGATACGATAGTTGGTTCACCGAGAACGTTCGTACTTGTAAAACGTGTTGCTGACACGATTCTCGGCGACGTTATTGTCCGAGATCGGGAAGAAAGAAATCGTGAGAGTCCTTACGGGAAGAAAGAGACAATCGAAAGAAACTATATAGACATAGGCTTAATCTCGAGAGATGCAGCGATTGTTAAGTAACAAACCATACCGTGTCTGTGCAATGTTCACGCCAACGAGTTCAGATGTGCACGATGCGATCGCGACAATTAAAATTAATTTCAGCGATTACTCGATGTAACGCGTTTTAAACAGTTCCCCCTCATGCGAGCGCGCGAAGAAAGAAGAGGCACGGAAGAATCCATGATTCTAATCGTTGGTCCGAAGAAACACGTTGCGTACGGGCAATTTTTAGTGCGTTCGCCTCGCAGTTTACGCGGTTTTCTTTTACCTGGCAATACTATGGATTTTTCGTAGCCTAAAATTTTCAGAAGAAAAGCTCTGTTTGCGTCACGAGGAGAAACACAGCTTTACGGTTGCGTCATAAATTTCTGACGCTCTTAACCCGCTATGAAGATGAAAGAGAGATGAATTCGTATTTAAACTTTGATCAAAGGCGTACTTTTACGTAGCGTAAGCGCTGCACCGCAGTCGAGACAGATGCGTTAGCTACGTGCCCGTGAAACGAGATGGGGAGATGGACCGTACGATTTCCGTGATCTCCGTGAGCCGCAGGCGATGCTAGTGTCTCGCCTCGCATAACTTCCAAGGGCTTTTCTTCCGAAAATGAGAATTTTCTACGATCGACGACCTTCTTTCCAGGCTGGCGAACCGTTTCTCGTATGACCGATTCTTTCCCGAATGATATCGTGCCTTGTCGAAAAACGAGGGCGCGTTCGACGCGTTCGGGGATTACAGGAGCGAAGTAGAAATGCATTAGCGGAGAGATCTCGACGGAAGTGGGCAAACCTTTCTCCGCGGAACGCGTTCCGCGCAACATCGATACTCCGGGTCGTTTCGCGCCGATCTCGATCGCGGAAACGACGCGGTTCCAACGTTTGCGACCGGTTTGCTCACTCCTGCGTCGCACATGGAAAAAAAAAAATAAATGAAATTTCAATTTCTGCACAAACAGGTGCTCGATCATTCTTAAAGAACACACACTTGGTGTCGACTGTGTCGTAGAACGGAAGATACTGTGACCAACTATTGTGAGTGTAATGTCGTCCGTCTAGGTACAAGAAAAGCGTCGCGTTTCGCGTCGTTTCTACTCGAGAGTTTCTCGAAGCTACCCGGAGTTCATCCCCGAGCAGAATCGCTCGCGACACGCGTTGCTCTCGTTTTGACGTTCGTCGAAGATGCTCTTGTTCAAGCAACGCAGAGAAGAGCGCGCGCGTCGACGGCCGAGAATATGGACGATGTCGAATCTTACTTTGTACGACTTGCGATTCGGGATCGATTTTTCAATCTCATCAATCCCATCGACGTCGACGGATTTGTTTTAGGCGAGCGCCATTTCGATGACACGGTTTCCAATCTGGATGTCACGAGGAGCCCGTGGGTGATAGATTTTTAACTCTTTGCACTCGAGGCCTTTTTTTCTGGTATCTTTTAGTAACTCGAGATGCTTTCTTAGAATTCTATTGCCACGAATGCTAAGATTTTATTGATTTCTAATTCTATTGACTTTTATTGAGATCTCTAATTTGAGATTTGAGAATCAGGTCACATTTGCCTCAACGACAATCATTTTATTGACACTTCGGCTTCCAAAGAAATTAAACCTAAAGAAAACCTGATAGTGACTGAGAGTTACATCTCGAGTGCAAACGGTTAACTCGAAGGATCTGTCTATCATTGGTACCCCCATTTCGAATCGTTAACGTTTGTATAAGAATCTCTAGCGCTTCTCGTGCGATTGCTTGAACGACAAAAGTCCTATCGGTCGTGAGAATAGGTCAGTCGTTTGGTGTTGTCGTCGGCGTTGCGTCGCAAAAGTACCTGGGTGACGGGATTCTCTCCGGGACGATAGACGACGTTGTGCATCGGTCGTTTGCGACCGACGTAGTTCACGCAGACGAACTCTAGCAGGCTGGCGTAGATGAAGCACATGCACACGCCGTCCCACACGTTCATGGCAGTCAGATTCGACACGACGGGCAACGTTGACCGGAAACCGTTCGACGTCGTGAAGAAATTGAGCATCGTCGTCACACCTGCGAACAAGCGAAATTGTACATTTTAGGTGCAAAGTATTCGTCTCTACGAACAACTGAGATCGAGAGTTGACTCTACTAGGATCATCCCTTTCTCTCGCGTTAACCCTTAGAAGCCTGGCTTTCCGAATTAAATTAAAAAAAAAAAAAAAAATATTAGGTTGTCCGGAAAGTCCATGTCGATTTTTGGTACAGGTCTGAATATATCGAAGTGGTTGAAAACAAATAACGTGCATACATCCCTTAAAAGGTGGAAAGGTTGTGGAACAAAATGACACCTATGTAATTCAATAAATATATATTAAAATTCATACGTGTTTTTGAATCTTTCTTAGAAATTGCCACGAACTTTCTGGACAACCTGATATCAATCTATTTATTGTTTGAACAATTTTTACAGCTGACGTTCATTTCTTTAACTTTCGTTCGAAAGAACAGTATGCAATGGTAACATACATACAGCCAAATATTAAAAACAAACCAATTACAATTCGATTTAAAAGGTCTGGTGTCAAATTTGAAACTCAAAGCGTTTAAGGGTTAATGCGGTATCTAGCTACTCGCCGAACAGCCCGAGAGCCGCACGGGAAGAGGTTGCTACTCCGTCTGCAGCTTTATGCTTTCGTGCAATTTTAACGCCGTGTTATTTCTCAAGGGGATTCGCAGGTGAAAATATATTTTTTCCTTTTCGACGGTGTCTTATTAAAAAGTCAAGCAACGAGGAGGTGAGAAAGATTTTCAAGACGGCGCACGCCTTCTTGATTTTCGCGAGGCTCTCTATTAGTCCGCTACGTACAAGGTGTCCCATTTCTGCGATTTCGGAAGAAGACGAGAAAGTCTTACCGATCATTACTCGGGCTGGGACGGCGTTCCATTCGAGCCAGAAGGTAATGAAGGAGCTGGTCACCAGAATAATTCCCGGGATGAAGACCGTCGTGAAGTAGAAGGCACGATCTCGCGTGAAAATCAGATCCACCTTCAGGCAGCTGTAGTTACCTAGCATGCATTACATCCGTATTATAATTGGCGTCTCACCGTCGACGCGGCGAGCGAGCAGGTAATATCACCCGGGAATTAAAAAAGCGGTTTCTGGTTATCGAGAAATCAATCGAAGCAGACGGCGTCCTTGTCGAGTTCTGTTTTATTCCGAATAAGAATTGGAACGACTGCTCGCGAAGATATATTTAACATCGTCATAGTCTACGCGGATTATATGCATCTATGCAAAACGAGACATTAGTATCGTTATGTTTCACTAAGTACCGCTAAATCTGCGATCCAATAGAAATGAAATCGAAACAAGAAGTGCAACGACGTCAGCGTTTCTGATAAAATATTTTTTTTTTTTTTTTTGATCTATGTACTTTACAATTTGTCCAGGAAGGACATCTGGTAAATTGTTAAAGCAGCTTGAGATAATTAACACGTAGATGCTTTCACGATGGGTTGCATGTTTCTTTGACAAAATAAATAATTTTCTTTTAGAAAAGAAATCGTACAGACAAGGAACGCGTTACCAGAGGCTAAAGGAGCCACCGATCAAGACCATAACGACGATAAATACATCCGTCTCGTTCCAGCGAAAGTATCGTCGAGTATTCGCGTCGTAACGACTGTTAAGAGCAGGGCTCGTTTCACCCCTGCGTCGGGGTAGATACTCCGGCACTCTTGAAAGGATGCCTCGTTCTACTTTCCTTAGGCAAACAGAGAGTCCCGTTTACGAAATTACGACTCCAAAGTGCCGTCGGTGCGGCAACATTGATATTTCTGTGGCATCTCCTTGCGGAGGGGGATCAGCTTGCGAGAGGAAAAAAGAAATGAAAAAAGAAGAAGAAGAAGAAGAAGAAGAAAGGAAAAACAGAATCAAGACCAGAGAAGGAACAAGAGGGCACCAGTCGTGTCGCCAACTTTCCGCAACGAAGCTCCACATTTGCGAAAGCGTTTCAAGCCGAGCTGGATACTATACTATACGACGCGCGAACGTCTAGGGCACATATGGGCAACCCCCTGCTCGCGTTCGTCCAATTCGGGTTCGGTGAAATCGCGACGTGTTCCGGTAAATCGCGTTAAACCAACGTCGCACGACTCGCGAGAAACACTGTGGCTGTGGAGACGGAATGATAATTTCGCCCTCGAATCAGGAAAGGTTGCCCGTGCCCGGTTCTAAGGGGTTGAGAGAGTTCGAGGGAGAGGGGAGCGTCGCAATCGGATAATACGAGGGCTACGTTCGTGAAACGGGGTTTCTCGAGCTCGATCCAAAATACAACTTTCTTGATGACGTTACTCGACGCTACCAAACTTTGCCCAGACCCTAAACAGAAATACCCGCTGCTCGGGAACGATTCGAAACGATGGGAATCCGTTTGCGCGATATACGGCGACGCGGTAATGGACCAATCGGTAGAGAATTAAAACAGCGTTTTTGTGACAAAAATAGTAACAGCAAACCGATTGTGCAATTACATAAAAGTAGATCCGTAGATCAATAGGTACATGTTTTCCACTCCCAACTCTGTTCCGTTTTCTTGTTATTTACAATTTAATGCCAAAAAATCGTGATTATTGTCGTCTTATAAATTTTAAACTAATGCAGCAATATCAATGCTGCAATGAGATCAAATGTAGGTGATGAAAATACCTACAGAATGAGACCTCGAACGTCTCGATCGGATAAAGAACGGAGATAAATCTGGAAAAACGGAAAATTCGGTGTTTTTTCCAAAATTCGTATCTCCGCCATTTTTTTAAACTGAAGCGCTGGCCTTTTGGGAACATATCAATCAATCAATCTGGGATCAATCAATTTGGGAAAATATCACTACCTGGTCCCAAAAGGCCAGCGCTTCAGTTTAAAAAATAACGGAGATACGAATTTTGGAAAGAACGCCGAATTTTCCGGTTTTCCAGATTTTTTCCGTTTCTCATGATCCGATCGAGACGTTCGAGACGTTAAATTGTAAATAACAAGAACACGGAACAGAGTCGGGAGTTGGAAAAACATATACCTATTGATCTACGGATCTCCTTTTATGTAATTGTACAATCGGTTTGCTGTTACTATTTTTGTCACACAAAAATGCACTATTTATTGGCCTATAACACTTAACCGTCCGCACGATCGTTCTTGCACGAAAATAGGTGACGATAACGATAGAATGTAATTCGTGATTCTGTTTTAAGAATTTGTTTAGATGAAATGCGCGGTTTAATTTCTCACGGAAGAGACACCGATAAGAATTCCATTCGATCTAGTTTAATCGGAGCACCATTGGGACGATGGCATTTTTGCTCGCGTTTTGAGTAACATTTCGATCATCCGTCGCTCAAAAACACACAATTTTTCTATCGAAATTGTTTTCGACGTGTAATTGCTTTTAGGATATCGTACCGTGTACGCCGCGCTGGGCAAAATTGGCTGGTGGCAGGCTGAAGAGGAGTCATCCGAAATGGACGGACGGTTAAGTGTTAATAGAAATCGTCGATATCGCTCCGCAGGTTGAATCGTTTACTGAGAAAATGGTGGAAGAATTGGTGACGTGTGCAACAGAAAATAAATCTCGACGATCGAATGAACTCGTAGAATTCTCCATCGTTGTACTGTATATACGTTACAGCGGAAACGGATATATGTATATCTTCGAAGTCTCTGGTACATTATATGTATACCTCCGCCGTAGTCTTCTCCATTCGAATAACAAACGAAATTTAAAGAACAGAGAGATAGGAAACCCAGCGAACAAAAAGTTATTCGAGATAATTTTGATGCGACTCTGACGTTCGCTGTACTTCACGTTTTCGCTGTAACATATGCGTACATACATAGAAAAAAGAAAAACGAACAACACCTGGGAATATAATGAAGCAGAAGCGAAGCGTAGGCGAAATGAATGAAACAAACGTTTGCCAAGATTCGAACCACATCCGGTAAAAAATAACTGTAGACGGGAATAACGTGTCTGGTTGGGGTTCTAACGCTTATACGATTTACATACTGTCGGAATGCTAATCTTTTGTAACGTTCTATAGCGACGTTTCGTCGAGCGAGTAAACGACGCCTCCTTTTTCTCTAATCCTACGTACTGCAAGGTGACGCGGAAATAATTAACCCTGAACACTTTAATCGCTCGGCGAAGTCGCGATCGGTAACGTCGGTACTTCGACCCTCTGCACCAACGATTCGCATATTTCCGCTCGACGAATCTTTTAAAATTCGGAATTTAAAAATTCCTCGTCCACGGAAGTCCCCGACGATCCAGACGAAATGAAATATTTCTAAAAACCCGTTCGTTTGTATCGCTCGCCCTGGGAATATTTCTTAGAAGATAAAACGCGAGGCTCGTTCTTTGCGAGCCGATTCGGATGTTTCGTATATTTTCCCCAGAATATTTTCTACTGGATTTCCAGGCCTCTTCTCGATTTTCTAGCGATTCTTATAAATGTCGCTCGAATTAAATTGAACGAAGAGGACCGGGTTCGGGCGTGGAATAAAGTTCCAATTAATTCGTCGTGATTGCTTTTATGACCAAACAATAACTGTGGGACATCCCAATTATTTTGGATATATACAGTCGGCGTAAGAAGTATTCGCACAGCAGCCAATTTCAAATAAAACTGATAAGAAAGGAAATAAGAGGTTAACATCGTAAACTTTAATTTACGCAAAGTCTACTCTAAAAATATGTGGAAACGTTGGTTAATTATTTCTTTTCCTAAAAATTTATTAATAAAATAAATATACGAAGTTTTATTTTGAATTGGTTCCTGTACGAATACTTATTACACCGACTGTACAATCGGTATATCATACATATTCCCGTACACTCTGTGTTTATTGATAAATTGAATGATAGGTTTGATGTTTTCAAATGAATTTTTCATTATATATACAGGGTGTTCCGGGATTAGTGTAAGCATCGGAAATGGGGTGTCTGAAGAACAGGTTCCTTTGCAAAAATTTCGGATGGTGCTTCGTTTTTGAATTATTAACGAAAACTACTGGCCAATCACTGCCCCCGATTAGCGCGTCCTCACCCGCGAGAAGCTGGTTTTTCGTTAATAATTCAGAAACGAAGCACCATCTGAAGTGTTTGCAAAGGAAATTGTGGTTCAGGATCGTCTCAGCTACTCTTGGGACACTCTGCATACACAAATTTAAAGTTTATCCATGTACATATTTACAATGAAACATTTATTTGAAAACACCGAGCCCATTATCTAATTTAGACAAATTTCTTCGATAGAAAATAGGTACGAGTACTTATGGGACCGACTGTACAGGGTGTTAACAAATATGTGAGGTATTTTTTCAGGATCAAGTCTTTATACCAGTACGAATCGTAAAGTCCTTTACAATTTTGCGATCTGAGTTATAAGAATCGTACAAATACTTATTGCTTCTATTTTTTTTTATCTACTTTTCGCATCTTTTTGTTAATTTCGCAAGTTATGTTAACTAGCAAATGTTATTTGGACTATGTCTATCTTAGAGACTTCCGAGAATATGTAAAATATCATTGATTATAAAAAAAGAAATTAAGAAAACTACAATTTCACACAAAAGTTTTTTGGGGAAAATGATCGGTGTACTAATACGTTCTACACCCACTGTATATCTCAACAACGATGCCTGAGATTGCAAAATGGTAAAGGACTGACTTTTCGATTCGTACAGGTATCCAGACTCGATCCTGAAAAAACGTTCCACATATTTGTTAACACCCTGTGTTAAGCGAAAGAGCAGGAGAATAACTGGAACTCTGATTTATTAAAAATCGTTTCATCTTCAAAGGGCCGAATTGTCCCTGTTTGGCTGGAATCTTTCGACCTCCCATTTCCTATGGGACCCTCCTTTTGAAATCGCGTCAACAAGATACCCGGTGCCGAGTACAAAGGGCGAAAGTACCGCGAGTAGTCGGTGGCACGGGAATGCGACATCGGATCAACTCGGTACAATGCTCCCCAGATTCGCCCGTTCTTGAAGCCTTTTACGAGAAATATTAACAATTTCGTGAAAGATTTTGCTTTCCCGATGAACGGGATGACTCGATTTCTCGAGGAATCGATCGACAGGGACGAGAACGATTTGGGAAGCACCGCGCCGGAGCATCTAGGCCTGTCTCACGAGTTGGTAAGCTTGGTCCTGTCTCTCCCTCTATTCTACTTAGGCTTATCTAAACCCTTTTCTACGCATTTCTCATCAAGGGAAATTTTGATTCGATCGTTCGCGACGAAGGGGGAGGATTTTACCTTGCTCCTCAAACCTGCGCTGGCACAGCGAGCACTTTGAGTCCCCAAATTCATCGAACTCGTCCTCGTAGTCGACGATGATCTGTCCGTCAGCTGCAACAGAACAGCCCACGATCTTCCATCCTCTCTTCTTTTTCCATTTTTGTTGTTGTTGTTGTGTGTTCTATATAGTTTTTTCTTTTTTGTTTTCGCCTGCCTGTCCCACTGTTTCTCTGTTCGATTTTTCTAATGTTTAGCTCACCGGGGGGGGGGGGGGGCCCGGGGGGGTAGGACGGATAAATCTTGATCGTGAGAGAGGCCTGGACCGATCTTCGAACGACGGGGATATTATCTTCGTTTGACAGAGTGTTAGTGCGGTAAACGCATCAGCGACAAGTGCGACAATCGACTCGAATAGACGTTTGTATATACGCAAGGTGCTCGATCAGATGATTCCACGGAGCGAAATTAGACGAATATCAAAAACGATAAAATTGCGCTCAAATCATCATAACTAAGATTTCGTTAAACTTTGCTCTGTGTCAGAGAAGACGTAGACAAAGTTCGCTTAACCTTCTAAAATGTATTTTTAACCGACTTCGAAAAAGAGTAGGTTTTAACCCTTTGCACTCGAGGCCCCTTTTTTTCTGGTATCTGTCAGCAACTCGACATGTTTCTTAGCATTCTATTGCCATGAATTTTGAGCTATATAGATTTGAGAATAGGGTCACCTTTACCTCGCCGACAATCATTTTATCGACACTTTGAGCTCCAAAAAGAAATTAAACCTAAAGAAAGAATATTGCTGATTGATTTGCTGCGTAAAACCTAACGGCGACTGAGAGTCACCTCTCGAATGCAAAGGGCTAACGAACTCCGTAAGTAGAATTGGCGAGAAATGGACATCAGACACGAATGAGTTGCATCGTATCCCAGACAATATTAACCCTTTGCACTCGAAGTCTTTTTTTCTGCTATCTGCCAGCAACTCGAGATGTTTCTTAACATTCTGTTGCTATGAGTTCTAAGCTATCGAGATTTCAGAACAAGGTCGCCTTTACCTCACTGACAATCATTTTTATTGACACTTCGAGCTCCAAAAAGAAATTGAACTTAAAAACTTTGGGTAGCGTAGACTTGCTGCGTGAAACCTAATGGTGGCTGAGAGTCGAGTGCAAGAGATCTCTCGAGTGCAAAGGGTTAATTTTTCTGGGAAACTTTTCTTGATTGCAATATCTTCTCTTAAACGCAATATCATCGTTTCTCGTCCTATTATTTCGACCCGTGGATCGTCTACCCTTTAGTCAGACGCTACGTATACCAATTTCTCTGCTCGAATCTTGATACTCGGAAACAGTGAAATGAATTGCTTCCGTGAACAGCGACGGTACGAAACAATTGACGCAAGCTATACGTAACAAGTCGTTGATTCGCGGAACGTTTGCGTGAAACGATCATTTGACACAGGAGCACAATCGACAAATGCGAGATAGCGTGTCCTCTGTTCGTCGGAGCGTTCCTTTCCTCCGTGGCAAAATCTATCCGTCCTTCCCGGCTTACCGTGCGACCGAGCCTTTCTTCCATTCACCGTTTATTCGCAACGTTTTACGTCGGTGCTTCCACGTTTTGTACGAGCTCGCGTTCGCTTATCGGGCATAGAGGAGATTTTAATCGTTGGGCTAACTAGACCAAGCGTTACCCGCATACCGCCATGGTTGATCCCTTCAGGGTAAAAAAGACGAGTCGATTTCTCGACGCTACCTATACGTCCACTGTTGTCGTCTTTAAACTCTTGAATTTTGAAACTCGATAAAGGGATTAGTTTCTCGTCGAGCTGGAAGAGGTAAAAACTTCCTTTCGGTTCCGTTGCTCGACGCGACGTCGACGGGAGGCTTGTACAAGGCTTTCAGTCAAAGAAAATTCAGGCGAATGCGTTCCGGCCGTATTACGCGACAAAGCTGCAGAAATCACGCTCTCGACAAAATCGTTCAAGCTTTTCTCACTGGCTGCGTCAAGCTGGTTAGAGAGTTTACGAGCGATCGACGGTAACGGTCAGGGCCGGCTTTGCGTGGAATTGAGAAAGGGATGTATCTTGATTTCACGCGAAATTTAAACATGAATTTAATCCGTGACACCAGTCAGAAGGAGGCACCTAAATCTATATAAATAAAATTGAAACATGTCTGTTTGAGGGAGAAGTCTGGTCCAGCTAATGTATCTTTCTAATGCATATAATTCCCAAATATAATTAATTTTTATTATTGAAACTTTTTTCACATGTAAAGGGAGGTTCGAAGAAGAAAATTTGACAGTGTAGATTTAATTTGAATTAGTCGCAAGAAAAGGATTCGGTTAAAACGGTGGGACGCATAGCTCATCGAATTTTTATCCGATTCACTTGATTCAACGCTTAAATCGAAGGTAATTCCAAGTTTATATACTAACGAACCTCGACTCTTAATGAATTATTATTATAGCATGAAGTTATTGCAAAATAACGACCGACATGTATCGTTCATTTTTTCATGTTTTTGCCGCCATTTTTGCAGTTAACAATTTTTTTTTTTTTTTTGCAAATTGAGGTTCATACGCATTTTACGTACCTACTAAAGGAAACTATTTTCTGATTTTATCTATCGGATGTTTTCCCAGGGACTGTCAAATTTTCTTCTTCGAACGTCCCTTTATATGTAAAAAAAGTTTCAAGAACAAAAATTGATTATGTCTGGAAATTATATGCGTTCGAAATATACATTAGCTGGACCAGACTCCCCCCCTTAAACGGGCTAATCTCCGGAACTGCTGATTTTAAACATTCTTTCGGTAATAAAAAGCTACACTGTCCCTGAGTGACATAAACTACTTTTTGTTTTGACAAAAACACATTTTCAATTTGAAATCTCTAAAGCTATCCCAACGGAAACCGAAAAACAATCGCCTAGTGATTCACGAAGGAACAGTCGGTCGAACGCGAACGACATAAAATAAATAGTATTCCGCGCGGACGAGACCGCGGCGCACACAGCTAGTCGTAAATAAAATTGCTGACAATTCCAGCGCCGGCCCTGGCGACGTTTTAACGCAACAATTAGCTTAAACACCGCGCTCGAGTCGTTCGATATACGAGCGCTAGCGATGCATTACTTTAGCGAAATGCAAAAAAAAACAGTCCCGTCCGAACAAGAACTCGTGGGAGACTTTGGACGACGATACGACGAAACGAGTAACAGCGGGGAACGAATTGGCATCGTTAAGGGCGTTAACGATACGTCCGTAATTAGTTTAAAACACAAGGCCTCACCCCAAAAAGCAAACCACGGCGGACTCGGTTGAAAAGCGAGACAGGAACCAAGGTTGCCAATATGCATTTTCTAGAGGAGCTATGTATCATCTAGATATATATACATATAAATATATCGGTGGACATTGACATGAATATATATATATATATATATATATAGGTATGTATGTATATATAGATATATGTATATACACACGTAAAGAGCGAAAGATAGAGAGAGATAAAGACATACGTGTAAGTACAAAACGCATCTAGGCCAACTAACGTAACAAAGGTGGAAACAAAAACGAAGATTTCGTCGTCGTAGTTCCGCTACGTCGCATGCAGAGTCCGTTCCTTCGTCGACGATCCCTCGATCGTTCGATCGATCACTTCCCCTCTGTGTGTATATATATATATATATACATGGAAAAAAAAGGCAAACACACGCACGCATTATGCACACGCTCAAACACACGCGCGCGTTTCCATACACTTCGTACGGTTGGCTTTGCTATCGTCTCGACGTCGTTCGATCGCGGTACTAGGTCGTCGCCTTCACTCTGAAATTGGCGTGCGTGCTTTCGATATCGAACAATTTTTTTTTTTTGGCAAAATAAAGCAACGTAATCTCGACGATCGGCGAAATCCATCGACGTGATCGCGAGACAAGAAACGCGCGGTATCGCAAGGAAAACATTCTAACGTGGTGCCAGAGAATTCGTTTGCGGTGCAGACAAAATCAAGCGTCATACGTCGAAAGAAAAAAGAGAAAAAAAAAGAACCAATCTCGCACTAATATGCAGTGGACGTGCATTGCGACTTACCTGACGATTTCGATTAGGGTACGGTCGGTTCGGCGCGGTTCGGAACTAGGGCTGAGACTGAGAATTGCGCTGAGAATTCGGCTGAGAATTTCTCTGTGTTCGAGTATACTTTAAACGCTCCGGTATAGTTGGAATAGTCCCAGTCCTAGTTGGAACACACGGCTACGAGGCCCGTGACGTATCGTTGAAAGTTGGCAACAAAGCGACGAAAGAAAAAGTCAAGCGAAAAAGACGCAATTTCATTGCGAGAACGTTGGAAGAGATTGTTCGTGACGGGTCGAAAGGCGAGGAAAGAAAATAAATAACGTCGCAGAGCATCTCGAATGATTCGAGTAAAATTTTCCAATCTTCAAATTTCGAAACGGCGATGCTCGGTCATGCGAGGCTCGGAATTGGGGGACGGTCGTTCGCGGCGATACGGGCGAAACCGAGATTTCCTCGTTGTCGAGAAATTTCGACTCCTTTGAACGATCTTGAGAACGTGGGAGTTTTCGTTCCCCCATCCTCTTCCCGCGGTACTTCCCTACCGCGTCGCCTTTATCGCGAAGCCCTCCCGAAACTCTCGGCGCGGATGATGCACGGTCGATCGGACAAAGGCGACGTTGTCGGGAACGATCGGCAGTTAACAGGTTCGATGAAGAGGAACGCCGGAACGCGAGCGAGGCGTGAACGAAATTAGAAATCCTTTTTCGGCGGTGCTGGCCGGATTTATTGATCCGGCGGCGGCGTCCATAGAAACGATGGTGGGGTTTTTCCAGGAATGGAGCAAAGGTTCAAGGGATGCAGCGCCTTAAGGTGCATCGATCTGCTAACAAGTATCACGCTGCTTCTTTTATCCGACAGCGACCCAGGTGGAGTCCAACCGTGGCCTCGAACACCTTTTCCTCCATCTTTCCAAATTTTAATCTTAATCTACCAACAGAACAGTGAATCTCGCATGTTTAGATCCCAGTTAGCGACGGGATCTGTCGCGAGTAGATCGCTGTACGTTAGGCACCTGGCGACGATCGTCCACCTGAGAAAATCAGTGGTCGAGTTCTCGAACACCTTTTTCTCCATCTTTCCAAATTTTAATCTCAATCTACCAACAGAACAGTAAACCTCGCATGTTTAGATCCCAGTTAGCGACGGGATCTGTCGCGCGTAGATCGCTGTACGTTAGGCACCTGGCGACGATCGTCCACCTAAGAAAATCAATGGTCGACTCGACGACGTTGCGGACGGTTCGACCCGAGTCTCCGAGTGCGTGTACAAGCGACGCTAAAACCGTTTCTCGTGGCCCAACGAAACTGCCGTGTTCGGTGCATTGCGATTGTACAGAAGCGTGTCACTTAAGGATGCAATAGAAAATTGTAAAATAGAATTGACAACGAACAGAGAGCGGCAAAAATTTTCGACGACGTTCGTCGTAATTGCTTGCGTTTGTATTTCCATTGGTTTCGATGGGCGTATCCAGTGCCGCGGTACCGATCACGATACAGTTCCGCGTACTCGCGTTTCGTCGCGGCAAAGATTCAGCATCGATGATTGAAAGGCACGGGTATCGATCTTCGACGATACATATTTCAAGAACCAGAACTGTACGGTGATGGATGTCTCCGATACCCGGCGTAACTTTTCTTTAAATTCGAACGCCTCCTTTCGGATAAATTAGATGAACTCGGTGACTCACCTCGCCAGCTTACTTTGATCGGACACGTGATTGTCTGGTTTTTAATAAGGTACGCGTTCAGCGACGTGAGGCTCGGACTTTTCCGCAAGGTACCCTCGTCGTTCTTCCACACGTACGTGATCGCCGTTTGCTCGTACGATACTGAAGAAGAAAACAACGTCAGAGTTTGTTTGCAGGCGTGCTCGGCGGACGAATCGATGTAACCAAATTATTTCGTCGAGGGTTAACCCTTTCGGTACAGAGAAGCTTGCCGCGGTTATATTAGGTTGTCCGAAAAGTTTCTTTCGCTTTATCAATAAGTGATACATGCGCAATAGTTCATGTTTAATGTTACATTACTGAATTGTGCACGATTTATTTTGCTCCGTTACTGTTACAACATGAATATCTATGAAATTAGATCGTCTATTTATATAAATACGACCACATCAAATAATCGAGCGCAACTCGCGAAAGAAACTTTCGGGACAACCTAATCCGTTCGTGATACGAGAAAGTTTTCCGCGAGAGTGTTTTCATAGAAATCTCGAGCGTGATAGGACACTGAACTTTTGTAACGCATACTGTAGAAAGTATTGGGTTGTCCCAAAAGTTTCTTCCATTTCATTTAAAGTAGACCGCGGAAATTTATGCAAAATAAAATTTTCGCGAACGTGCCTACAAAAATTGACCTTAAATAGGAATTTATTTTATTCTGCAATTATTTATAATATGAACTTTACTTTCAATCTGTTTTATATTCTTGCGTATTGTTTGCATTTTGTACGTTCTTACACATTCAAATTTTCCTATGAATGCATAAAAATCCGCAGTTTATTAATAAGTAATACATACACAATATTTTATGTCTAAAATATTATATTATCGAATTGGGTACGATTCATTTTGCCTCATTACTGTTACAACATTAACATTTAAGAAATTAGGTTGTCTATTTATATAGACACAAAATAATTGAGCGCAAGTCACGGAAGAAACTTTTGGGACAACCTAACAATAAGCGGCAGTAGTACCGAAAGGGTTAAATTCGTGGATTTACTTACTGCTCTCGATCGCGAATGAACACAGTGGGTCGTCGAAGGGGAAGATATTAAGTCTGCCCTGGCAGGATAGGATAAGGTGACGCCTGGAAAATAAAACGATGTAAATTCGATGAATATTTAATCAAGGATTTTTAATCTAAACAGTACTCGACGAACCGTGTTTACGGGAATAATTACGCAACGTAACGAGTTGCTTCGTTAGACAACATCGGCTGCCTCTCGAAACCGTCGTCCTCGATGTATCCTTAAGCACGCGTCAAGGTTCATCGACCATCGATGGGGACGTTTAATTGATCGCGTAAACACGGCTTGCACAAGTGGAAGCCACGGCCAATGATAATAGGGAAGTCGTGGAAGTATCGACGGGATTCGGACCGGGACCGATAAACGGATAATAAATACCTCATAAGGTAGTTGACCGTGCCGTTGCGGTATATCCGTAGGGCGAAATGAACGGGTATAAGTGGATCCTTAAAGTCTCCGTGCATTATGAAGTACGTGTCCGGCAACCAGATATTGTCGTAGTGATGAATCGCGTTCAAGAACTCGTACTGCGATCGGTTGCTGTAGCGCAGCCGCGGGTCGTACCACTGTTGTTGCAGCAAGAACTCCACCTCGTATTTCTGTCCGCAACACCGACAAAATCAGAACTGTTACGAAACCGCCGGGACGTGTCGTTAAACGATAGGTTAACAGCGACTGGTGTTGCTGCGTTTCTTCCCAAGTATTTTTTAACGAACGCGACGGGTCGCGGTAGAAAAGGCTTTCCCTAAGCATTTTCTACCGAGAAACAAAAGAGACCTGTACTCGGCGTTCAGAGCGTTAATATTCGCTAGGTTTTGTATCTCGTGACACCTCGCGAGGACTTCATCTCGAAAGGATCGTCAAGTCCCGATAGAGATGGCAAGATTAACGAAGTAAAAATGTCAATTACCAAACTGGACTCGTCGGGGGAAGCCAAACTTAGCAACAGCACGCTCACGTTCACGGTCAAGGTACCTGAAACACAATCGTGGGATTGGAAATGCGGGCCTGATTGGGAACGTTCTTCGTGCAGTCTCGCGAGCGGAGCACGCTAATACGAGATAGCCGTTCCCTCGAAAGATGCATCCCGCATCGCGGAACGGATTATCGACGCTCAACTTTATTTCCAAGCGTCGTTCGAATCCCCGACATTAACTGGACCACCACCAAAGCGCAAATAGCCGGGGAATTTTCTCGACGCGCGCGAGAGACCGGCCCCGTCGATTATTTACGTCGATTAGCGTGGCTCCCTCGTTCGTTGCGACCGATCGAAGACCGACCTTTACGAGCCAGATCGATCGTAAGATCAGCCTCTCGAAACGGTTACGTGAAACGGCGAACAAACGTTTTTTATCTCCTTCTTCTACGTTTGCGTAAGCCGATGCCGTTATTGCGTAAGCCTCGTTAGCGCCATGCTGTGCACATGCTGCGACTAATGTCGTGTTCGTATTAAAGTGTCAAGCTCGTGGTCGGAGCTGAGACTCGGGAAACGGTCGTACGGGACCTTCGATCGTGTCCCGTTTCATTGCCGGACTATACTTTCACTAATTGCGATACGAATTCACCTTTTAAATTGAATAACGAGACCGTCTTTCTACTCGGTTTCTTGAAACTTGAGAGCGATCTCACAGGCGCGAGTAGCACTTTCTCGCTCCAATTTTCGAGCGACCGATTGCGAGTCCCAGCCAGCGACTCGATCGCCAACGCATTCGGCTACACATAGAGTCGCAAGTAAACGAGTGTCTAGTACGCTGGAGTGTACAGAGTGGGTGGAAGAGACGGGACCAGGATGGAAAGTGATATACACGTCTACGTTTCCAGAAATCGTTGTCGATGGTCGAGGAAACGGTCTTCCGGCTCCGAGAAACAGAAAGTCGCGTGACGCGTATTCCGCGAGCGTCGTGATCGCCTTTCGACTGGAGGATTTCCAATGAAAAAAAAAAAAAAAGTAAAAAAAGAAATCGACATCGCGTTATCGAGCCATCTCTCGATAAGGGGCGCGTTACTTACGCCAGGCAAACGAGCCCTAATCGCCGGACGCAACGGGCACGAACCTCGGAGTCGGCTTGAAGAGAGTGTTAGTTATATCCTGTCGACTAAGTAGGGATTATAGGGAGAAAAAGGGATCAGTCCCTTTAAGGGGATCGTGGAAGGAGGTGTCCTGTCGAGTTCTCGCGAGATCCAGGCACCTCCCTGGTAGCTTAGATGGGCGAGTGTTTTTAGTGGGTAGGACTTGGGAGGCGGCAGAGATGGGCAAAACTCTAGGCTTCGAATAAATCTGTAGTTTGCCGATACGTTTGTCTCGTTTCGTCTTTTGAACATTTTCCAGCGAAAGATACGAGACAAACGCATCGGCAAACCTCAGATTTATTCGAAACTTAGGGTTTTGCCCATCGCTGGGAGGCGGACGATGAGCTATTGCTCGGCGACCGCCACCCTCGGAGATCTCACTTTCACTCGAAAAAAAAAGTGGGGATCGTGGAATCATTGATAAGCAGAACCTGGACGATGTCGAGTAATCATTCCAGAGTTTGCAACGTCTGATCGAAACGTCTGACTCGATACGGGTCGAGACTTCTTTCAGGACCTGATCTTTCTTTCTCCCTATAATACGAGTCACTGACACGAAATTGGGGCGTGCGTTAACCCTTTGGCTGCGAACTCCGTATACTTACGACACAGAGAATCCAAAACCTCAGAAACTTTAAATTAACACGAGTTGCTTCGAATATATCGACGCTTTTCTAACGTCCTGTAAAAGTTACGACTTCAAACGGCCGCGATTTCAGAAATCTCTTCTATCGAAATCGGCCTACGAGGCATCGCGTTTCCCTGGTTTCGGTGTCCCGTATCGCGGCGGTCGGTTTTCGGTCGAGATCTCAGCCAAAGGGTTAAATGCACCTGCGTTAAACGCGAGAAAAGGAAACACCGAGGCCACGGACGCATCGTAATTCCGTCCTCGTTGTCGCGAGCACGTTAATAGACCGGGGATAACGCGTGGCCAGTTGTCCTCGCGTTAATTTGTCATCGTTGTATGATGTTTGTCTGCGTGTGTGTCTGCGCGCGTGTTTCATCCTAATCGATGAAGCGAGGACGAAGGCTTAGGTCGAACAACGTTTTCATTTCGTCGACCGACTCGTCGGGACCGAGCGAAAAGGTTCGAGTAAATTTTTCGAAAACAAGGATCAAAAGAGCAGCTTTCGCGAGCAACACTCTCTTTTCTTTTTTTACTTTCTCTCCGTCTCTCTCTCTCGTTCTCTCTCGCTCTGGCACGGACATATTAGGGGGAAAGTATACTCCCGCTCGAAAATCGATCGACCTACAAACCCTCGTAATGGAATGCAAAAATTCGACGGGCAACCCATTCAGGATTCAATTCGTGTAGCTCAACTGCAGTCTCTCGATCAACGCCGAGAGAGACTGTTTCGAATTCGTCGCTTTTTCAGCTTGACTTTTTCAAAACAGGCACGTCACTCTGTAGGCCCTCCACGGAAGATGTCGGCGCTCGATACGCGTACTTTCGTGCCGATTCGACGAGCTGTAAACGCGTTAGGTCGGACCCTTCTGCGCGAAGTGGGTCAACCGAGCCATTTCGCCTGGGTCGCAAGTTTACGCGAAAAGGACAGTTACGAATTCTCTTACTCTCACGGCGATTCGGTAACCGTGCTAGCTTCGAACAGGAAAAGCGATATTACATTGGAAATCTCTAAATGGAATGGATAATTTCTTTGCGCCGTTGGCGCCTTCAAAATGTAAACGGGCCGCGAAACTCTTGACCTCGGAGTGCACGCGAAACGTGGCTGTTTTTTTCAATCAAGCGTCAAAGGCTCGTGAACTTTTCCATATCGGCGATCGACTAGAAAATCCAAACCTCGGTAGAACGAACATATTTCGTGTTCACGGTATTGATAACGGCAAGGTAAATGTCCCAATTGTCGACGCAATTTCTGCCAACAGTTCCTTTGACGTTTCTCGATACAAATTTCGCAAGATACATTTCGAAATCTCTACATGCGTATATTCAAATTCGAAGAGTCTATACGTCTACACGTATTCATGTATTCAAATTTTATGGATTTACGTTGCATGTACTCGTCTATTCAAATTCGAGCCATCTACATATTACACAGCTTTCGCGTTAAGACTGATCAAAAATCGGCCTATTTTTTACGCTAGTTACACCCCTCAAATGCGTAAGAAACGATCCAATGATCGAGTATTCGAGTACAGGCGCCCCAGTCACCGGTTAGGTCGTCCGCAAACGGAGCTACTCGTAAGAAACGTAATTGGTTGGCGAATCACATCACAAACTAGTTACTTACTGGTCAGTGAATCGGTTCCGCGCACGCAATAGTCAACAACAGCACACGCTACTCAAACGATAGCAACAGAAGTTGCTTCGGTCAAGTGTGATCCACCGTACAAGTTAGTAAAGTTATGTCAAATACTGACTCTAGCGACGAGGAAAATATTAGGTCTACCGGAAAGTTCTGTCGGTTTTTAGGATGAAACAAAATAATAAATTTTTCATACCTGGAATAAATTTGATCGAATAATACAATTTTTATCAATATTTATGACATCTTGTCAGCGTGATTGTGAATGCGAAACTTGTTGTAACACGAACGGACAGAACTTTTCGATAGACCTAATATGATACTCTAGCGTCATTATAAAAGACGAATACGCAGAAAAAGAGAATACTGGGTTCACCCGCATCTCGAAGAAAACATCAACTGTGGATTATTTGTAGCAGTAAAGGAACAAACAGATTTTAAAGTAATTACTTTCCATCGAATGTCGAAACGGAGTTGTATGGATCTGGTGCAAACGATTGCTCCATTCATAAGAAAGCAAAATGCAAATATGAGAGAATGAGTGAGTGCCGAAGAAAAGGTATTAATTACACTCAAGTAAGTAAGAAATGTGCGAACGATTTGACGTTCAAACATTCCTCGTTCGTCACAAGAATTCTATTATATAAATATATAATAAAGAAGAAATACTTATATTTATATTCACTGATATTCTGCTATGAGAAGTCGAGTCACTCGGAATGGATTAGTGACGCGTCACTAACTGGTTACTAACGAGTAGCACCGTGTGCGACACTACATATAATTGTATCGGAAGTGACTCAAAAGTAACTGATTCGTAACTCGCGTCGTTAATCAGTTTCTTCCGAGTAGCTTCGTATGCGAACGGCCAAAAAGTGTAAAACAAGTTTTTTCCGATCTTTCCTGCTTTCTATATTCTCGAATCGTCGATAACCGCGTCAACGACGTAAATTAATAGCGTCGATGACTGGTTCAGCGTCGAAATTGGGTGCACTTACCTCGGCTCTGATAATCGAGTGGCGAACGCTCACGAGTAACGGACGAGTAGCGAGCGAGCGAGCGAGCGAGCGAACGAGCGAACGAAAACGGTAACGAGTCGCGACACAGACGAGAAACCGCAGCAACTGAATGGGTCGTACCGTATGAAAATCGTGATAGCCTTAATTATTTCTCTAGACGAGGTTACGAGAGATGTAAAAACAGAAGAACGGACCGCGAAGGTGGGTGCGGTGAAGGTGTTGGTGCGACGTGTAGTGGTTATTGTTCTGGTTCTTGTACTGGTTCTTGGGGTCGTTAGAGGAGGTCGACGACCGGTTCGACAGGCTGGTGGCGTCACCAGGCCATCGCATTCCGCAGCAGAAATCCGCATCTGTAACACCCAACAACCCTTGCCCACGTCTCATCCATTTTTTTGTTGTTGTTTTTTATTTTTGTTGTTTAACGATCTCGCTAACGGATTAAAAATCTTGTTCGATCCTACGTTCGCGATCTACGTGTATACCTCGTCTTTCAAAATGGCTTGTCAACCGTTTTCAGGGTGTAAACGAAACGATCGTCGCGTCTTTCGGGGAAGAATGCGCCGTGAGTGCATCGATGGAGATTCCGTCGAGTGTATCGGATGCAACGTTTCTACGATTTTTAAAGCTTCGGAAGAGTATACCAATGGAAGACGATGCGGACGAATCGTGTAACATCTACGAGCGACTAGACGCGTTCGTTAGGAACATCAACGAGCGAGTTTTACTTTGCTCGAGCGAAATACAGAGGGACGGTAAGAAGATCGTTTATCGAATAAATCTCCATCGATGCAAGTGCGCGGAAGTGCAGTGTTAATGAATAGATTCATCCCTGGAAGCCGCGACAAGTATTTATGTCGCACCCCGGCCAGAATGGAACAGAGTCTACGATAAAACAGCAACGACAACTACTTGTGTGTTTCTCGCCAACGACATTCCGACACTTGATATTCTGTTAAATTCTTTCGGTGTACTTATCGTTGTGCTTGTCAGGACTTTGGCCTTCCCTTGCGATCTCGTCGGATGACATTTACCGGGAATTCGTAACTCCAATAGAAATCAGCGAAGAGTATGGGCGAGAGGAAAGTGGGGGGTTGTAAATATATTCGTTAGAGTCTCATTGTCAGTGTGTAGATTTTCTGTGCAAACCAAACAACTCTTGCCCACGTCTCATCATTCTTCTCGTTTCGCTCAGCTTCGCGTCCTCTAGCGAGTTCCTCGCGAGCCGAACCCAAACTCGGCGCTTCTACGAGCCTCGTCTTCCTGGATGAGATTCGCGATATCGACAAGCCTCGGGTCGTACGTTTTTCTCGTCGTAGAGCTCTCGAGAGCGTCGTCGAGTCGATGGGGAAGAATTCGACGGGGTCAAGATAGAGTATTTTCGATGTTGATTTTGCTGGACAAACACGCGATGGTTAGTCCTGGCGTAACGATAAGGACCCGCCGATAGATTTCCAATTAAAGCGCTCGCTCGCGACCCATTTCGCGGGTCCTTTGCGAAATCGTTCGCGAATATGTACAGGGTGTTTGATTACGAGTGGACAATCCCTCGCGAGCCGAATCTGCGGACAAAAGTTATACGGAAACCACGTCGAGTTTTCCATCGTTGTTTAATCCTTTGCACTCGAGGGATTTTTTTCTGGTATCTGCCAGCAATACGAGATGTTTCTTAGCACTATATTGCCATGAATTCTAAACTATCTAGATTTGAGAATAAGGTCACCTTTACCGCACCGACAATTATTTTGTTAACCGACTTAGAAAAGGAGGAGGTTACTCAATTCGACATGTATATTTATTTATTTATTTATTTATTTATTATTTTTTTTTTTTTTTTGAAATTTCGAGTTCCAAAGAAATTGAACCTAAAGAAACAATATTGCTAGATAGATTTGCTGCGTGAAACCTAATGGTGACTGAGAGTCACCTCTCGAGTGCAAAGGGTTAATTCTCTTTGAGCGCACCCCTGACGGATTGCCCACCTGTAGTTGAATACCTTGTACAAACAGAACGTCTTTTCCTCGAAGATGACTCCGGAACTCGAGGACACGTCGAGCTCCGAATTCACCCGCTCCGAGGTATCCGATATCGAATTAGAAATGGCGAAGTAGAACGGGAAAAACGTGGAAAATGTCAGAAAGCCTCGTAGAAGATCAGGGTTACTTTGAAAAAGAATCTGGAAGCTGCACGCCGGAAGAATGAACCCTGAATAATGCAGTTTCCATGCAGTGTCTCTCGTTCCTTCGAGTTCGTTCGTGACGCGATGCTTCTCTTCACCCTCCGTGCTTCGATATTTCGCTCCGTAGGACGCGGGAGATCGTTATCCACCTTCGTTCGTCTCGAGTTCGTTAATGCTTCTCGCGACTCAACGACTACGTTCCGCGCTCGACGATCTTTCTCGCTCCCGGTCTTCCTGCTTCGCGAAAGAGACGGGCACGATTTTCATCTGGATAAAAACAACGAACGAACGAGCGAGAGATAAATATCTCTTGGCTCGTTGCGCGATAAATATATGTAGATTAGAATTTGAATCATGGAGTTGAATATTTCACGAACGCGAGAAACGTAATCGTTCGTTCGGATAAAAGCTCGCTAATAAATTGCTACGCGTTGGTTTCATTCGTTATCCATTGCACGAACAAAATATTACTCGGATCTGTTTTCCGACTGTCGACGACAATTTCGCTTTTTGGAGTAATTTTGCCGGCCGAAAAGACGGCAAAGCGTAGGTTTCGCGCGCGAAACAAGCAATCAACGTCTCTTTGGTCGTAGAAGCGATACACGCGATTGTTTTTTCCAGCTCTCGAGGCTCGTCACCCGTCCTCCTTTTAACTCGCGCTCCGCGAAAGCTCGCTTTCTTTACATTCGGTGGCTGTACAAACGACGCCGGTGCTCGAGGGGGTCGTGGCAACTTTCCCGTTCCCAACGATACAAACGGGTAAAAACCGTACTTTTTATGCCCGCCAGTTTCTATGAAAGAGCGAAACGTTGTTTGCCCGATAGGCACTCGGAGCGAACGGTATTCGATGAATTAAGGAAAAGATGTAGAAATCACGCCACTTATGGTACCTTATCTTGATCTATCTTATCGCTTTAGGATTGCAACAAGAAATTGCAACAAGAAACTATCAGAAACAACTACACGTCTTTACAATAATACCACGAATGTCGTTAACACGTTCACTGCCAAACGAATATTCTTGAAAATTTCTGCTAAGATTAAATATTATTTAGACTATCGGAGTCTAGGTAATGAAACATTTATCGTAGTATTTAGTTTTGTAATCACATCAAAATTCAAGAACTTCATTCAGATTCATCTCTTGTGACGTCTAACTTTCAGAATTAATCTCTCTAGTTCTCGAGTGAAAAACACTGTCACCCATATATGAGTGACATGACGATGAACGTGTTAATGAAATCGTACGCAACGCGAGATTACGGCGGAAGGCGTAACTGAAGTTTTCTCGTTTGGTAAATATGCTTCTCGAGGTTTTCAAAGCAATGCTTGCCCCGATAAAGTATTACGAACACCGATATACATATATATATATACATATACATATATAATGCAGAAAGAAACCCATCGATCCACCGAGCGAAGGAAAGCGCGCTCGCGTTTCTGAATTCTTCGGGGCGAGGTTCTCGAACGGTCCCCGCTCGATTTCTGTCAAAAATTCGTTCAAAGGACGTCTGAGAAGAGGGCGAAGAGCGCTCGAAACGGAAACGAGGCGTACCGCGAAGCTGCTACTAATTACTTACTTCGAACGAGTATTTCTACGCGCGATAGCTGCAAGCTACTAGCTGGCTGTTTATCGCGACATCGCAAACACGTATCGATGCCAACGAGCTCGACGAGCTCGATAGAAGCATCCCTCTCTCTTTGCAAAGCTCGTTCAAACTCGAGGAAATTTCCAGAGAGCGTGAGTGGCCAATATTGGGAGAACCGTCTGACTTTCTTTACGTCGAAGACGTTCCGCGATTCTGGGGGAACAATACCTAATTGAGGAGCGTGCAAGTCGCTCGAGATGTTCGACTGGTCTCCTGGGAATCGAGTAATCGCACGATCCCCCAAAAGTGGGGTCTACTCCCTGTGGTATCGCTTCTAATATATCATTCGAACAATTTAAATCGATAGAAGAGCTCTGAAATAAACCAAGTTGAAATAAACATAAGATTTTGTCCCCTCCTGGTCTTATAAAAAGTTTGGAAGCCAATGGTCCATAGGATAACACGGCACAAAAGCGTCGGTGGTCGATCGCGAAGCGAGATTAAGTCGACAAGGGGCGATACCTGGTTCGACGTAGAAAGCCAACGGCTGGAAAAGGCGACACGGCCTTTTATCGTGCTTTTCGCGTCACAATTCCGTCCGAGCGTCTCACGACCCGCGTAGAAAAAGAAAATTCTGTCCTCGACCCGCTTCTAACCGCCTATAAATATTACCGTTACGCGAACGAATCGAGCGAAGCAAAGTGTACACGGAACGCGATGTTAATCGCGAATTTTCCCGTCGAACGAAGGTCCTCCTCGCGTTTCCGAAGAATTCAAATTTATTCCACGACCCCGACGAATACATCGTCCAGACCCGTCGTCCGTTTCGATAATCGTCGAAATGCGTCACGATAAATAGAGCGTGTCGTGGCTGACCTAAGCACAGGTGTACCCTCGTTATTCGAAGAAAAAAATGAGCCGATATTAACATTTTTCCGACGATAAAAGAAGCGAAATTACTACCGAATCCTTTCGGAAACATTCGAGGAGAAACGTCCATTCGAGAGATCTGCCAACCGTTTATCGCGTTCGTTCGCAAACAGGACGAGCATTATAATTACATGAATCGCGTACAACGTTCGTGTTTCCTGTACCGACACGGCTGTTTCGCGAAACAAGAGGAACGTTCCGTCGTTTATTAGATCGATGACCAATCGCCACGAGCCAAGCGAATTTACATACGAATTAATCCAGGCCGCGTGCCCTCGACGATACGTTTCACGAATTTCTATAAAGCTGAACGCGAACGCTTCCGTGACGTCACCAGCCACTAGACGTCAAGGGGATCGATTACTTTCGACTTTTTTTTTTTTTTTTTTTTTATTTCGTCGTCAAAGATTCGGTTCACGGCTCGCTTTACAATAATTATAATTCACGCCCAATGCGCTGTTTGACCTTTTCTTCTCGTTCGTTTCGCTCGGACTGCACCGATCGCGAGTTATAATATTAATCCTCGTTCCAGAAGCGTTTCAATTTACACGACGTAATTAGAAAGCTCGTTAGCCCGAATCGAAATTATCACGTTCCGCGAATTGTTTGCACGTGGAGCCGGGGTAACGCCGGTATAAATCGTAATCGAAGAGATTAAGGCGATCGACAGCAACGGAAAATAAATCGACCTCGGCCCGTGGAACTGGGAAGAATTCTTTTTATCCGGGCGTAAAGTCAAACTTTCCGGCGATAATGAATTTTTAAAGGTGTGTTGGTCCGTTCATGTCGCGATGTAAATGCCAGGAAAAGTTCCCTCCGACCGAGGGAACTTGGACCTCGCGAAGAATTCTGCTTGGCTCTAGCCGGGAAACTGCAAATTTATTACCGTCATGAAATTGAATTTCCGAGCGAGTACCGACGAGGTAAACAGCTCTCGGCGGAGAGTGGCTCGGAGCTAGTGATAGAGGACGGCAATGGTCAGACGGATCTCCCGATTCGGCCAACCAGTCGCTTCGCTATCGAACAACTTTTATTTTCTCCGTTCCTTCTCACTCTCTCGCATTTCTTCTGTTCAGTTCCTTAGCCTCTTCGCTTCCATTCATATTTTCCTTCGTCTCGCACTCTACGCTTTCGCTCTCCTTCATCCACTCCTCTTCCTTTCTCTCGTTTCTCGATTAAAAACAATTGAAAAGAATAACTTTGTTAGATTTGCCTGATCATCGAGGCGCGCAGAAGGTCGAATCGCTTCGGATTTCACTCATTGACGGGCAAAATCGTAATCGCGGATACGAATACGATTAGTAATCGAATGTTTTCGAGTTGCGATCACGAATACGATTAGAATCGTAATCGCAAATTTTTCTGCGATTACGACCGTAATTTTTACAGGTTTACAGCCATAGAAATTCTTTACCCGAAAACCGACTTCAGATTCGTGTTCTTCGCACCAAGGAACTTAGAAAACCATACTATTCGTCGAAATCAAAAATGAAAAATTTTCGATTAAAATTCGTGCCCATAGAACAGAGCCTAGAGAGGGTAACTTTTCTGAAAAAAAATTTATTTCGACAAAAGCATGGTTCTCTAAGTTTTTTAATGCGAGGAACACGAATCTGATGTGAAGAATTTTTATGGCTGTAAACCTTTAAAAATACGGTCCTATTCGTAATCACAGCTCGGAGAGATGCGATTACAATCGTATTCGTATTGACTACGATTACGATTTTCCCCATCGCTGATTTCGATGGATAGACAGTGCTTCGATCGTGGAAGGACGGTACCAAATGTTTCGCCCGTTCAAGGCCAATTGGGGGTGGGAGGGGTGGCGAAGGTAGGCTTTGAAGCCAATGAGAGAACAGAGATCTCTGTAGAAAAGTAACTAAAAGAGCATCTAGCTAACGAAACGAAATACAAAAGTGAAAAGGAAAGGCAAATAGATCTGGTTGACAGTCCGAAGACTGACGACGGTTGCGTGACGGTACCACTTACCTGCGAGTCCCAACACCACGACCTTGGTATCTGAAAAAAGCCGAAGCTTCTACCGATATCGCGAAACTGGCAGTTTCCGATGTCTGCCATCGGGGAAATGGCCTTGAACGGACAAAGTATTTATCGTCGACCTACTCGAAGCGACTCGAAGCGCGTCTCGCGTCTGCTGCAAGGCGTCGACATTTTTCTCGGCATTTACGAGCCTCCATCTCGGAGATACTTTTAGCTCCTTCGCCATATCTTTTTACGGCTCTCGTTCTCCGCAATTAAGGCCACATTCTCTCGTTATAGCAGGCAAACCAGAGATGGGCAAAATTTTACTCGAAAAATGGCCGAGGCCAACGTCGGTTTAATATTCATTTGTTTTTTTTTTTTTCCTTTTTTTGTAAAACATTTCGCTCTATTCTCCTTTCTCGATTCAACTTTTCGTTGCTTCGAATCTTTGTTTCTCAAAGTATTAACTGCACGAAGGTTCCTTCTGTTTCGTTTGCAACGAGGATCGAATTTTGTATGCTATGTTTAAAATATGAAAATCTGGGAATAAGAATGATGCCCATCTCCAAGACAAACACTCGAACATGTACACACGCGAAGAAGCATACACGGGCTCGCAGTGACGGTCTGAGGCAGGCCTGTTCAACTGGACTGCGGCGAGCAAGAGGACTTTTAGTTTCAAGAGGAAGATCTAGAGCTCTCATCGATCTCGGAGATTTCTCACTGGTTAGTGGATATCGTGAATGATGCCTACTTTTTTTTTTTTTGTTTTTTTTTTAGGTCTATTCCACACGGCACAACCGATTTGAAATTAGTGTTGCAAACCGTTTGCGCTCTACTGAACGAGTAGGTGAAACAAACTATTAGGTTGTCTCAAAAGTTTCTTTCCCTTTATTAATAAGTAAAGGTCGATTCAGACAATACGACACAGACCGTCACGTTCCGGCACCGACACGACGAAACATTAAAACTCGAATGAAACTATTCATACTATTCCCGTTGACGGAACGCTCAAGTCGGTGTCTGTTAAGTGTGAATAGTTCCATTAAAACGCGCGTTTTAATGTTTTGTCGTGTCGTTGACGGTCCGTGTCGTATAGATCTGAATCGACCTTGATACATGCACAATATTTTATGTTTTCTGTTACATTACTGAATCGTGCACGATTCATTTTGCTCCGTTACAACATGAATATCTATGGAATTAGATTGTCTATTTATAGAAACACGACCACATCAAATAATTGATGTGCAACTCGCGAAAGAAACATTCGGGACAACCTAATATGTACTTTCAATTAGTTTCAGAGTGGTTTGAAAGTGATCGATTGCGCCGTGTACGATCGGGATTATTTTTAATCACGGTATCGACGCGATCGCTGGTGCTTTCGAAAACTAGCGTTCCTTCCAAGAGCTCCGGCCTTGCTCCTGATAGATCGCGTTGGCTAGGAACGAGTTGAACAGGCTCGGTGCCTCCGTCTTCGGACTCTGGAGCGATGGAAGAGAATCGAGCGGTTCTCTCTCATTCGCCCGCTCGCTCTCGTTTTCGTTCTCGTGCTGGTTTAGCGTGATCGGGTCGATTTCTATATAGAGTACCCTTTTGACGAGGGGTGAGCAGTGAGCTGTGGTTGTGTGGTGCTGTGTGGTGGTAGCGGTGCCGGTGATGTTCGAGGTGCTCTGGATGGTCGGGGTGATTGGGTACGAGGTAGTCAGGGGTGTAGTCGTCTTGGCGGGTGTGGGGCGGGGGCCTCAGTGTACCTTGGACCGGGGGCAGAAGCCGCTTGTCGTAACGCGTCGACAGCAGCAGGTTGTCCAGGATCTCCTTGTCCGACTTGCCCTCCTCGAAGCTGCAACACAATGCATTGTAGCTAGCCCCGGAACCCAGCGGATCGTCAGCGATATTCTTCCGACTCCGCGACCAATTCTCCCATCTTTCTTTCTTTTTTTTATCCTTCATTTCGCGCGGGCTCTGGTTCCCTCTTTGGGGACCCCCGAAGGTCGTCGAATTATATTCCCATGACAGAGAAACGAGGGAAGTGATTCTACCACGCAAAGCCACGGGGGATGTTTCTTGTCCCAATAGGAAGATTTAGAACCGACGAGGTTGTAAACGTAAATCGTTTTCAAACGAATCCAAACTTGAGCGAAAAAAAATGCTTCCGAACGATCGCTAAAATTGTATCGCTATCACCGTTTCTTTTGTCGCGACAAGGGAATGGCGTAGTTGCTCGTTCCGTAATCACGGTGAAAGAGGCGAAGGAGACTTCGAGGCAAAAGAGACCCAGGAGCAGGTCTCGAGCAACGAAGAGCTTCGATTAAATGCCACGAGATTACCGTGATTGTCGTTTGCGATTTACAGTGGATGTTGAAAGCATTCGTACACCGAGCAATTTCCAAAAAAACTATGTAAAATTGTGATTTCTTAACTCATTTTTTATAAACAATGACATTCTACATATTCTCGGAAATCTCTAGAACAGAAATACATTACAAAAAAAAAAAAATAAAAACAAGAAAGATACCTATTTATATAAGTTGCGAAATTAACAAGAAAAAAAAACAATTAATCGATAGAAATGTTGAAGCAATAAGTATTCGCACAACCGTTTAATTTTTAAAACTTCGTTAAAAAGAAAGAAATTTACATTAATTTACAAGTATATAATACCTCCTTCGTGGGATTTCCTGTTGTTTTTATCAATTTTTTTCCTTTTAAATTATTAGTTATTCAAAGTGGGATCTCCTTCAATTCCTCTATTAGAGCCTTTTTTAAAAGTACTCTACTGGAAATTTGATGTTTTCTAATTCGTACGAAGCGATAAACTAATGTGTTTACGTTACAAACTCTACTCTAAATGGTTCGTCATAAGAATCGTACAAATACTTATTGCTTCTATACTTTTACCCACTTTTCGCATTTTTCTATCAATTTCACAAATTCCATTAACTAGTAAATGTTGTTTGGACTATATCTATCCTTAGAGACTTCCGAGAATATCATTGATTGTAAAATATCATTGATTATAAAAGAAGAAGTTAAGAAAATACAATTTCACACAAATTTTTAGGAGAAATTGATCGATGTACGAATACATTCTACGCGCACTGTGTACAGATAGCGGCATGTTTTCGTAGCCTTCTCCCGGTTATAACGGGTCTCCGTAGTGTAAACAAAACGAAACGATACGATCAACGTATAATGCCACGATCGGTATCGGGGGAAAAACGCGAATTGCTTCGAGATCGACCTTCGAGGTGTTCCAAGTTCGGTTGCTCCTTGAACGCCACTCGACGGTGCAACCCACACCGAAGGCATGCGTTTATTAAGAGGTTTGTAATTCGATCAATAGGATAAGTGATTTTAGAGATCTTTGGATCGTAGCAATCGAACGTTACGATTAGCTGTAATAAGTGCGAAACGAATCGTGAGAAACGCGCCCAAGAACGTGTCTTTTGGATGAGATACTTGGACGTTTCATCGGCGTAGCTTCGTCGAGGGTCAAACGACACACCGATACATCAGGATAGGTATGGACTAAGTTAGGTCACGATAGGTCTGGTTCAAGGTCGCATCGAGATATCGGTTGTGTAATTCGACTTCTGAAGAAACTAACTGCGACGCTGAAACGTCCTTCGTAACTCGTTTTCTACGGCTCGTTCTACCACTCATCGTCGCTAATCGCAACGCGCGATTACCCAAGGTTTGCAACTGTAACGACCATAATATATTAAACGTGAACAAATCAAACGATCTACGGATTATCTGGAGAATGTACACAGCTCTCTAAACGCACTATATGGAACAGCTTCTACCTTCGAGCGTCGCTGAATTATTCTGTAAATCGCTATTTAACGTCTGTTGCTTCGATCGTGGCTAGATCACGATCACTAGGTTATCCAAACTTGTCTACTCGGGCTAAACGTGTACAAACGTGATGCAGTTGAACGTGCGGGACGTCGGCCGAGCGAAGGCCTCGGTTAATACATCGATTCCCGTTCAATTTTCGTCGTTTCGTTTAATAATCCCGAGGTTGCCGTGGCTGCCGACGTCGTGATAAATGTGGCTCGATGAACTTCCCCGTCAGCGTCATCGTTATCGACGATGCGGTCGCGCGGAAGCCGCAGGAATTATCTTTTTGACAAATTTAAACGATAAATTTCAGCCTCTCGATTCTCGAGGCAAACGTAATTAAATATTCGTGATTTTTGCGGCGGAATTAAATTGGAACGATCCGTTACTTAACCGTACAATAGAGCGCAAGTATACGTAGTTAAAGCCGTCGTCCAAGTTACGGGAAGTCTGGCGCCATTACCGTGCCACGATGGAAGGATCGTAATGGACATCCGAAACGAGCAAAGTCCCTTCCGTCGACCGGCGTCCCAGTTAATAACGAGACAAGTTTGCGCAATATTAAACGTAGAACAAGTATATAAGAGCCTTTGAACGTAAAACGAGACGACATTAAGGGCGATTCCTCTCTATTCCATGCAAAAGGAATTTAACTCGTGACCGGTTTTAATAGAGTATCGAGTAAGGTCTTCTACCGTCCTCGCTATAATGTCGCTCCCTCGGTCCTATCACAAGCAAGAAAATTTGACTACGCTAGCGTGTCGCGGCTGATTCTTCGCTTCTCGATACGGTTCCCTTCGCTGGAAAATCGATCGCGGATCGCGGCCGATTCTTCGCGAAACCGACGGAGCACGTAAACGCTCCGATATATCCTTATCGTTCGAGCGTTCGCGAAGTCGCGAATCGAGAAGGTAAGAGAGAAAAGTTGGTCGTTGAAACTGGTGATTGTCGTATACGATAATACGTACATGTCCTCGGCACGCACGAGGGTGACAAGAGTGAGGGCAAGTGTGAGGATACAGAGGATGGTGAGGATGAGGGAGCTTGCGAGGGAGGTGAGAGACAGCGAGAGGACGGACGAGAGGCGGCCGCCACCACCCGCACACCGCCCTAGCGCCACCCAACCCATTCTATGTCATCTGAAACAGAAAGCACGTTTTCCATTATTAGTATTCCGTGTGTCATCGAAACGGATGTCGTCAGACAGGAGCGCAGCCAGAAATTAGCAGGGGAGATGGCGGCTCGATATTAACGGGGACGCGCGCGTCGCGATGCTTTCCATCCGCGTTCGCGTGACAAAAGAAAGGAAAAAACGTTAAAAAAGAGAAATAAAAATATTTTATGCAAACTTCTTCGAAATCTGTCGCGTTATTTATTTAACCATCCGACGCAGGAACCGAGTCACGTTTTATCGACGTTCGTTTTAAAGTCGCGTTCATTTCGACTGTCTTCGAGAGTGTCGAACCACGTATTAACATTGTAATTCGATCCCCTAGAATACATGTTATCGATACATTTCTAAAAAGCATTCTAAAAAAAATAGAATCAGAATAAATATTATTTATGTGTACTTCCTAAGAGTATATTTTTCACCTTCCTTCAGTATTTAATATCTTTTTTTTTTCTAAACAATTTTGCGATACTATTTATTTTGCAACAGTAGTACTTAGAAAGAAATATTAATCAAAAAAAATTGGTTACAAGTCATTATTAACATGATAATAATATCTGCAAATAAAAATTTGATTTTAACCCTTAGCGCCCTAAGTTTCAAATTCGATACCGAACTTTTAAATCGAATTGTACGCTTGCGATTGATTTGTTTTTAACATTTGGCTGTACGTATGTTACCATTGAATAATGTTGTCTTGAACCGAATTAAAAAGAATAAATGTCAGCTGTCAAAATTGTTCAAATAATAAATATTAGAGGGACCGAAAAGTAACGTCATTTCTTCCACGTTAAATTCAAACAAATACATTCTTAATAAGTTTCTGCTTTTAATCGATTATGTAATCACCCTTGCTATCAACAGCTGATTCCCAGTGCGCAAATCTTCAATGCTAAATCGATCAAAATTAACGAGCTGATCAATGATAAACAAGTATCGAGTATCGCAGAAACGACGCTACTTTCCAGTCCACCTAATACATTGTTATTTTCTTCAAATTTAATTTGGAAAATTAGACTTCTAAGAGCCGGGATCCCGATGCCTGAATGGCGAATAGTTTAGAATTTTAGATTAAAACTGTAAATTCGACCGGCTAATTTCAAGCAAGTATCGTTCCCTTGTCGTTTTGTCGCAGCTTGTCAAGACCCAGCTTTGCGGTACGTGTAAATACTCGAAGAGAGGAGCACGGTCCACGAGTTCCTCGGCATTTGGCGAAATTCGGCTTTCTGGTGTGTAAGGTAAACCTGCTTAATCAAGTATCGACCAAGGAAATTTAATCCGCACCTGTTCGGACAACGACACGGCTGGCGAACGGAATTTGGTTGGCGGTTTCGCGCGCGCCAGCCAACCTACATCAACGAAACTCAACATAACGCGGCGTTTCTTTGGTCGCGAAAGTCTCGAATAATACCGAGAGAGAACAAGCTTGCGAACGAAAACGTAACAGCTCGACTAGTAATTCCTTTGGAAACGTTTCCTGTACGAGACTGGCCACCTTGTCTGGCTAATGATGGTACAATCTCCTGTGCGGGTCTGTAGGAAGTAGATTATATCGTCGTTAATCAGACTTGTCGTTTTAATTCCTCCTCTCTGCGTAGTGGATAGAAGAAATGATACACGAACGTATTGTTTGTTAAAGAAATGTTGCAAAATGCATATTTTACTCAACACTTTGTTTACCGGGAGCCTGTTTATAGGCTTTTTAATTCCAATATTTAGCTATTGGATATGGGAGCCCGAAATAATTAATACGCTTTATATATTAAAAGAAATAGACTTTATTTCACACGACGGCAGGAAGGTTCTTTTCATTAAGAGATCTCATGCTCGACTGACTAAACTTCGACACCAGAAGGAAATCAGGGTCCTCTCATATCTCCCGAGTGTTTAGGTTTCGTGTCGCCACAGTTTGACCCTTAAAACAAAGTATCGACGGCGATACGTAGAAGTGAAACGCTTCGGAGAACGCCGATTCAATTTTTGACAACGAACAATAAGTTCATTCTTCGTGAAGGGTATTGATAATCCAACATTAGCTTTTTCAATTTATTTACTGTATCGATGGTTGTCTACTTACAATGTTCAGTGTTTGGAAACAGACTTGGCTTTCGATGTACCCAGTAACAGTATGGAAGAATTATTGTCAGCCTAGATTGGCATATGATACTGTAGAAAGTTCTTTTTAAATTAAAGACCGTCGGAACTACTTTCGAAGATGTTTATTTTTCGACTCGAACAATCCATCTGACTCGTTCCTTTCCGGCGCCCTGTACACGTATCCTCAAACACACGCATTCTCACACCTATCACTCTGTACATTAGCCGATCATTCGTGCTTGTCACCTGTCGCTCGATCTCATTCGTTCACATTCATTCGGCACGCATTTCGCACTCATTTCAACAATCACTCGCTACAAGACTGTCTCTAAGTAGCCCGGTAGATAAAGTGTTAAGAACGAAGCGGGTAGTAAATAAAATAAAATAATAAAAATCCAACAATATCCTCCAATTCTGTGGCGGAGTGTATAACCTTTGTAATTCGCAGGATTTCGGTACCGAGGTAGAATGTAGAAGGAATTCATCTTCCAGCGTTGAAGATCGCTAACCGGTAACTCGATATTCTTAGCTTAATCTTGTCGTAGTGTGTCTCGAAGCTGGAAGGAGTTTGTTTTAATCCCCCGCGCCAGGATGTCTGCGACGCGAAACATTTCAAAAGCCCTAGTCTACTTCAGGCGTCGGTCGTTTATCCTCGTCTACCCTTTGATAAGTAATTAGGCGGCTCGCAAGTTCCAACGACTGCCCCCCGGGCCGAACTTCGAGTTTCGAACATGAGCGCTCTGACCTCGAAGTCTAACAGTGGAAATGGCGAAAACGCTTAATCAAACGACGAGACTTCGGGTACGCTTGTCGCCGACTGTCTCGTAAAATCGTCATGCATACGAGAGCTCGATCCCAACATTAGGTCTCCCTTCAACTTTTCCCTCGTCCGCTATAATAGACTTCCATAATGTCTTCAAAAAATTGAGAACATATACGTCAACGTCAAATTTTCTACCTACTATTTTCTTTGAGAGACGAAGATAAAATAGCGATAAATTTTCGCAACGTCGGTTCACGCGTTCCTCCCTCTCCTTCGCTCGAAAAGACTGACACAAATGACTGAAAATATTCGGCCGGTATACAGACGCCCCTAACGTGTTAACAAAACGGTGAAAGGTTACCCTTCAAAGACCCGCGGATACACTTTTGATCTACGACCCCTCGATTCGTGTAGGTGTGTCCGAGCGACCCTGCATCCAGACCAGACGAGTCTTTCCGGTGAGAATGTACGAATAGGACGGAGGGACAAGAAACTCGGGAGTTTCAAAGCTCGGATATTATGGCTACATTCCGGAGGTCCTTTTACGGCCTTTTTGCCCGACCTTTGTCTCGGAGGTTTACCGAAATTGCGATACAAAGACACTCGACCTCGTGACTAATATCCTCCTTTATTTGATCTCCAACCACGGCTCCTCCTATCGTTTAGATCGTAAGACCCTTAGACTGCGCTGAAAACGTACTTCCATCTGTTTCGTCGACGTCCTCTTCGAGACGACTACTCGCACGCTCGTGCCAGGGCTCGGAAACTCGCACGTTCGAATGTTTGTCGAGCTTCCATGTTTGACGACACATCAAAGCACTCGCATCCAACACGATTGGAGCGCAAAGTCGTTCGTGCCGCGCTGGCGGGTATCGGATATCTTCGAGAATGCCCGGACCACTGTCTCCTCTCGTTCGTCGAATCCATTGAAAATTTTCCTCGCTAGTTTAAATCCCGGTTCCCGGTTCGCTGATTGAAGAACTCCGACAAAAGTTGAAACGCGAGTTCCATCGTTGGTCGTTCAAAGTTCGTCTCGATCGACCGGGATCGTCTTTTTCACGAGAAAATCCGCCGACACGACGGTTTCCGCTTCTTTCGACGGCCACCGCCACAATTTATGCAAATTCCATCAATACCGCGCGAACCGGTAATGAGATTTTCAATATTGATGTCGAGGCTCGCCTAAAGGCAGACTTCTAGCGTGTTTTGACGAAAATTGACTTCGTCGCAAAGTGCATTTCCGACCGGTTTTAAAGTAGAAACGGAATCGTTGAAAACTTTACAACCTTGTCCTTTAAAGTTCGATTAAAGGATACTAAAGGAAGACTATCGTTTTCTTGCGATAAATAACTCGCAAAACTAGCGTAGCGAATGTCGGTAACTCTATTTGCGACTTGACGTATATCGAGATACAAATAGGTGCATCGTTCCGTTTGCAATTACGACTGTTTAATCGGTAAATAATCGGCTTTACGAACTACGCGGGAGCTCTGCAATCGAGGAAACCAGAAACTAGTCTTTGCCCACGTCAAATTGACAATTACTGTCTACCAGCTCTGCGGCTTCTGATCCAATATAGCTAAGTCTGTACAAGTATCAACGTTTAAACGCGACGACGTTCGGTGGTTTCGTTCGTCTCGACGGTTGTTCCTAACGTAAGCAAATATTGTGTAAGAAAAAATATTTATTGCCGGGACGAAGGCGTATCGGTGTTACGGTTGTCGATGCAACGGCGAGACAGCGAATAAGTTTCCGTTTACGGCGTAAACGACTGTACGTACGTACCGCGCGTCTCGAAGTTTGAAATTTCATCCTGCACGCTTATCGCTTTGTTCCTCGGGGGTTCGAACGCGATCCATTCGTGCCGGTTCCCAGAGATCCCATCGGACTCCCGCGCGGGTCTCATTCCACGTACGGAGACGATAACGGTACAAACTAATTTCTGCGTGGCACGGATGCTCCGAACTGTTGCGAACCTTCCGTCTGGAAACCTCGCGCCGCGATTGCGCTCCAGAGTTTCCGCATATAAGAGGCTGGAATTAAACGATCACCGGGTGCAGTTGCAGCTAACTGAGTTTCGTAGCCGGTAAATTTAAGAACAGTCTTAA